GATGAGCAGGTAACTGGGACAGCACCTTGGATGAACTGTAGTGAGTGAAGACACATCCTGTAATGTAATATAAAACTCATTTAGACTATCTGTTCAGAGAAGTGCATGCCTGGGGGTAAAGGTTTGTGTTGTTTCCATTTATTGTTTCACTCTTGACTGGACTTATGAACTATATAGAACTGCGTATAGTTTTTGCCACAAGCGTGTGCTTCCATTGGGTCTTTATGGATTATACAATAATTCGATGAAATGAACAAACCTTTCAAAAACCGTTTTTATATTACATACGACAGTACACATATTGTCTAGATTGTCTAAATGTATAAAAATTGTATGAACTGTTTAGTTGAATGCTAATAATGTCTTGCTGGCATTCTTCCTCGGCAGATTTAATTTTTCAGTGACATGTCTACCTTTTGTGAGGCTTAATAATTCCACCTACAGTTATGGACTGAATAGACACAGCAGATCACGACTTTAATCTGCGCATCACAAAGGTGTTTTTTTCCACTATGTCCTTGACTCATTTTTCAGACACTTGCTCATCTTCTAAAACTGTTTTCTTTCATAAGCTAATGCAGTTTCGTCTACTCCCTGCCACTTTCTGTATCACTGGGCTCACGGCATCACAACGGCTGCTGTTGTTTCTTATTTGAATGTTGCTCTCAAGCTTTAGCTTTTTCATTGGTAACATAAAGGTGCACTTAGAGCACTAGCATTTGCATTACACATAATTATGGGCCAGTGAATCATAAAATTCATCAGGGTAGCTAATCTCAATGTGTGTTAAAACTGAAGAAGCTGTGTGCTAGTGTGCTGTGAGAACCCTGAGCCTGAGTCAGTACATGACGGTCTTGACCTTAAAGCTGAGAGTCAGAAAAAATGAGGAGCCTAAAGGTCTGAGATTGTTTCTTGTATTCTTCTTCTCTATTAAGAATTGTCATTTTTAACTATAAAAATCTGTAGCAATCATAAACCTTCACATCATGAATATGCATGGAAGCGTTTACAAGTTTCTTCTGCATGTGTGGCATATACATACAGTCATGGTAAAAAGTAACACCCTCCTTCAATGTTTTTATTCATCTGGGGCTGAAAAACAATTGTGTGGACATCACCACCATCTATAAAAACAAACAAAAACCCCATTAAAGATGATAAAAAAAACAAAAACACACACACGACAGAATTCAATATGTGGTTACTGTTTCCCAAAAGTAAACCAACATTCAGGAAAAGGGTGGGAAAATTAAAGTATACCCTACTTCATCCCTACTTCCCCAATCAGCCATGACCTCAGAGAAGCAATTGTCAGTCATCTATTTGAGAAGGGTTATAGGGCCATCTCCGGACAATTTGCAATTCATCATTCTACAATAAGAAAGATTATTTACAAATAGAGAGCCTCTGAGACAGCTGCCAATCTTACCAGGAGTGGGTGTCCCAGCAAATTCAGTCCAAGGTCAGATCGTTTAATGGTCAGAGATATAAAGAAAAACCCAAGTGCTACATCATGTGACCTGCAGGTCTCTAAGCACATTAAATATTTATTTTCATGACAGCACGGTTAGAAAAAGACTGAACAAGTATGGCTTTCACAAAAAGGGGTCTGGGCAGAAGCCCCTTCTCTCCATAAAGAATATGGCAGCAGGATGCAGGTCTGCAAACCTGCATCTGAACAAAATACAAAGTTGTTTGGTCATCATGCACAACGCAGCATATCACCACAAACACCTCATACCAACTGTTAAGCATGTTGGTGGAGGAGTGATGATCTGGGCTTGTTTTGCAGCCACCAGACCTGGGAAACTTGAGACAACAATAAACTCCACTTTAGATCAAAATATTCTTGAGACTGTTGTGGAACAAGACAAATGTGAGGCCATCTGTTCAGCATCTTAAGCTGGACCAAAATTGAATTATGCAACAGGACAATGATCCCAAGCACATCAGCAAATCGACATCTGGACAGCTAAGGACGAAAAATATCCAGGTGATGGAATGGCCAAGTCAAAGTCCAGACCTCCACCCTATTGAGATGCTGCAGCACGAAGTTAAGAGAGCTGCACATAAACAAATGCCTTCAAACATCAATGAACTGAAGCAATGTTGTAGGGAAGTGTGGGTCAGAATTTCTCCAGAATGATGAGAGGCTGACAAACTCCTCCAGAAAACATTTACTGCAAGTTGTTGTTGCTAAGGGCAGTTCTACGCATTTCTGAGTTATAGGGTGTGCTTTTATTTTCCCAACTGGTTTCTGACTGTTGGTTTACATTTGGGAAACATTGACTACATAATGCAATCTGCTCAGATTTTTTTTTTTTGCTGTCACCTGAGTTTATCCTGATGAATAAAAACACAAAACTGAAGGAGGGTGTACTTTCTTTTTACATGACTGTATACCATTGCCAGCTGAACTAAGAACACCTTCACAGAAAGTGACAGAACAGCTTGTGAAGAGTCAGACACGAAAACACCTACTGCACAAAACATATTTGAATCAGCTGCTACTATTTTATTAATTTGCTGCTAAACTGTCCTACACCCATTGCAGATGGTCTGCTTTTGCATGGTTTACACCCTATATTTACTGTTTATACACAATGCATAATGTGTGTATGCTTATAACATAAGTGACTCACATTTTTTGCAGTAATTGGTTAGAGAAACCATTCCTGTTCATGTTCATCAACGCTGTGTGCCAGGGGCTGACTGGATCGCTGATGTCATTTGCTCTATTGTTGGTCAGCTGTTTTCACTGAACTTTGGCACATGTCCCTGACATAATTGCTATGGAGAGAACATGTAATGACTGGGCATTTATAATGAGGAGATTTTCAGTTCAGGACACATGAGAGCAGAGATATAAGGAGAAGGAGGGAAGTGGAATAAAGCCCGGAACTGTGATATAAGGTTTGAAGGATCTTTTGACAGAGGTGGCAGAGTGGTGGCTCTAAATGTGGGGGACTGGCCTTCCTTGTAGAGACCAGATGCTGGTCCTCACACAGTAAGTCATTACATTTTAGGGGGACAACTTGGTTAAGGTTAGAGTAAGGTTAGGGGTAGATTAAGGGTCAGGGTTAGGCAAGTAGTGGTTATTACTGTTAGGGTAAGTCTCCAGGAAATGAATGTAGGTCAATAAAAAGTCTTACTAATGACAAAAACAAGAATGTGTGTGCATGTCTTTATGTGGCAAAAAGTGAGTGAGAGAGAGCGAGAACTGGAGTGGGGGCAGGAAATAAAAAAAGAGAGGAACATGAAGAACACTACTGAACAAAGACATCAAGAAATATTTAAAGATAACACAAAAAGCACCAGTGGGTCTGTTCAACAGCCTGTGCTGTGTGACAGCTTCCTAACTCCATTTTTTTTTTTGGATAAATGCAATTTCAGAGACTAGGGACTTTAAACTGAAAAAAGACACACAAAGAGAGAGGGACAAGTCAGATGAAAAAAGACAACAAGAACACCAATTTTGTCCCTTCAATAGACACAAAGGGGAAATAACATGTTTCCCCTTGTCTATCACTGACTCAAGAACGATTAGCTTAATTATATGGAAGAAGTAAGACTGAAGAGTCTGTGTGTGTTTGAGAGAGAAAGACAGAGAGATTTAGACAGAGAGATTTGGAATGACCATGACCAGAAAAATGGAGAAATTAAATTTCCATTTAACATTAACACAAAGCCTGCATTTAATACAAGGTGCTGTTTGTCGGTGTATTGCTAATATAGAGTAAGTCATCCCAAACGGTCACATTTTGGGAACTTGTGTCATGTTACAATTTAGGGCCACAAAGCAGATCTGCATGAGGTAAAACACTGAATATCAGGCTGAGGTGAAAATTAGGGTTAAGGTTATGCATGCAACATGGAAATATTTCAGCATTTTGAGTAAGATGCTTATTTGCTTTCTTTACAAGAGTAAAGTCACATCTGTTCATTAATCTGAGGAGGTGAGTGTCTTGGCTTAGTATAAGAAGCAGGGAGAGACAGTACTGCCTTTGTCCAGACTGAAACTAGAACTACTGTTTTGTGGTTGTATGTCTCCACTAACCCAGTCAAATCCATGGGAATGGGGCAGGCATGAGGTCACTCACATTGACCCTTGACCACCAAAATTTAATAAGTTCATCCTTGAGTTCAAGTGGATTTTTGTGCCATAGTTAAAAAAATTCCCTCAAGGCATTCCCTGACATATTGTGTTCACGAGAATGAGCTGTACAGACAGACAACCTGAAAATATAAAGCCTCCAGCCATGGCTATCACTAGCATGGAGGCTTAAAACACTGACTTACTGGGACACCTTTTTTGTTGACTCCACACATTAAGACAAATGGGGAAACTGATTTATGAGGACTTAAAAGGCTGTTGCTGGACAAACCCTGGATTATATTCAATGCCAGCTTTTTGCACATGCTCGTTCTCTACAAAATCTGCACAAGCCAACTATTCTATGGTTAATGTTAGGGAAATATCAATGTCATAGCAAATAAGTGATGGCTGAGGCCTGATTAACACTTAGGGGGCAGGATTGTGGTTATACTTTATAAAAATGCAAACATTAACTGTAGGTATGGGGTGGGGTGCTAATTCAGTTCTCTTGCACTCAAGTCTACAAAAGACAAAACTTCAGAAACCTCCTGACATCACTGCGCTCTGCTGTTATTTGCCAAGAAAAGGCAAGCACAAAGAGGAGCTCCCACTAAAACTGGAGAAAATGGCTCATTTATGTATTTTTTAAAATAGATTTCAGCTGAAATTTGAGGTCTACTGCTGCATTCACACAGAATGACAAGAACAGGAAAATATAGAATATTATCAGTCTTATGCTTTAGGGGTTTAAGTGTTTAGAGAATCAATGCAAATCAGTGCAATGTCCTCCGAAGCGACAAAAACAAGTGTGTGTGTGTGGTGGTGATGGTGGGGGTGGGGGGTGGGGGGGGAGCTGAAGGGATTGAGGCGAAACAGTCACATGCACAACAGACCGTTAAGGAATAACTCCCGCTGTCTCTGTCTCTCGTTCTCTCTCTCCCCCTTTCTTTCTCTTCTTCTTGACTCCCTCCATCATCCTCCTCTTCCTCATCCAGCATGCCACTCTCCTCTCTTCCCTCTGCTCCCCGTCTTCATCTCAACTTGAACTATTCCTGCATTTAATTTTTAATGATATACATACAGCTCGCGCACTACCGCTCTCCTCTTTCTCTGTCCCCCACCCCCCTACTCTCTGCTCCTTTCTTCTCCACCTGTTAGTCTCCCTCTTCTCTCCGCACTGGAGACCCCTCTTTTTTTATGTGGAGTTTCACACTTGCGCTATCACTGAGGTAAGTCATCATTTTGATTCTTTTATTCTGAAATGTTGACAGGTTGAATCTGCTGCCATGTTTTGCAACATTAGTTTTATATGTATTTTAGCCCGCTCGTTTTCCTTGCATGAAATACACTTTTATGTCTCACACTTTTTCTCAAAAACAAAAATGTTCTCCCCTTCCTTACACCCTCTGTCTCTGTTATTACCTCTTCACTTGTCCATCTGTCTGGTTCATGTATGTGCATTTTATTTTCTTGTTAACTCTGCATTAGAGAGTAAAAGCCGCGCTGGGAGACAGACACATTTATTTTGCATCATTCTCACAGAGAGCAGACAGGTGTAACACACAGCAGTCTCTCTTTGTTCCATTTCACCTGCTCCTTCACTTTTCTTTCTCACCTTCTCAACACACACACACACACAGAAGTTTGCTCATCTCTGGCTGCTTGGAAATAACTTGGCTCTAACTGACAAGTGCACACGTCACTGTGGTTAGCTATAAATGATCTGCTGACTATCAAGCTCTAATGAGTAGCTACAGTTTGCGGCACTGTTCTATACCATCTGCCTGTCAACCAGAGGCAGCTTGTTATTTAAAGGTGAAGAGAGCCCACCACAGGGGCCCCATTACATGTAGGACACAGGAGAAGAAGAAGAAAACCAGCCAAGAGAGTGAGAGAGAGAAAGATCCTCACATACCTAACAGGTGGTGTCTGAGAGATTGACAGAGAGATAATGAAAAATAAGAAGAAAAGAAGACGTGGTGGATTAGAAAGGTGGAGATGAGAAGGTAGAGGAGGAGAGGTTTAGGGAGAGAGCAACCATGTCTGTGTTATGACTAATTTAAAGAGAAGGAGCTAAGAGAGGAGGAGGGGAGGTCACACACTGCACAAAGATAGCCCTGACTGTCAGCTTCTGGCAGATTCATTCCTCCCTCTCGAAGCTAAAAACCTATGTAACTTATGTAACCTCATGATTATATTTTCTAGGGAGCCATTCACACTGTGCTGTATAAGACTGCATAACTAACAGCCACACGGCTACTGTATGTAGGCAAGTTGGACCGTTATTTCACGGCTTATAGGAATTATGTGTAGGAATTCAACCGCATGTTCCACAGCTAAGAGTCTTGTATATAAACAAGTTAAAGCACATATCGACCTGCAAGACATGAAGATGAAATCTGCACCTCATTATTTTGAGTGTGCACTACCACAGTTCTCAACAACAAGATAATGATGAGAAGAGAAGATGCGAGAGATTCCAGCTGGCAGCGTAAGAGCGATCAATCATGAGCTTGCCATGAACCACCAGGCCTCTCATCTACGCGTGTGCTGCTGCTGCTGGTGCTCAGACTACTCCAGCTTATGGCCACATCTGCCAGGATTGGGAGGCGACTGAACATTCTATCAACAGACACCCGCTCACAAGCCTGCAACAGCTTAGTGTGCCACATAGTGTGTGTGTAGAGAGAATAATAAATGATCTGACAGAAGCATATCTACATGTAAGGTTGATGGCATGCTTGTGAAATGATTGTTGCTACACAGTATGTGTGTGTGTTTGTGTGTCTGACTGACTTGCTTTGAGGGATTATATATTACCCATAAAGACATTTATGTATTCAATCATGTTAATTAATTTCCAATCAATCCTGGTCATAATCAACACTGGGAGTTTTCATTAACTTGTTTTCATCTTCTCCTTAATGTCTCGCAGTCTTCCACTCAAAGTGGTTTCTTTGGTGGGTGGCTTCGTTGTTGTTCTATTGTTGTACCAGACTGAAACAATTTACTGTACCTGTGACAGGCGCTGGTTTGTCTTCTCTCTACGTTCACCCTCATTACATTTGAAAAGCTCTTGTCCTGAAGTGCAAGACTCTAAGGTTACTGCTTGTGCTATTTTAATGAGCAGTGTTGTTCAGTTCTACAGAAGTCATTAATTGTGCTACTGTGGTCCTTAGTGGCACCAAAATAGCTGCTGCTGGTTTTCAAGAGGCAGTGTTCATCCTTTTCCATTCCCAAGCCAACAGTCTGTCAAAGTCCTTTCAGTCAAATGAGTCAAGGAAGTTTGTAGGCTGGCACACTGCAGCGTGTTTCAGAAGTTTGTTTCATCTCCAGCCAAACAAAAGCTGGACGAACAGTGGTGTGCATCACCCACTGTTGTGCATCACAGCAGAGCCTGGAACATAAGTGACAAATGAACGGCACTGCCTGTAATTCTGCTGAAGGTCAACAGTGAGAGGCAATGCTTTCAGAGCCGCTTTCTGAAACGGCGGTATTGGTCACACTGACTTTATCCTGATGACTGAACAGTCAGAAATTAATCTGTTTACTTGTTTTGACCCCACAAACAAGTGGAAAATGACAACAGTCATTACTGGCATGGAGGATTTAAAACTTGCATTCATATTAGCCAATAAACCTCTTTGTTCTCTTTCCAAGAGCTAGATGTGAAGATTAAAATCACGCTCATGTCTGTACACTTTGCTAAGCACAAAGAATGGAAACAGGAATACCACTAGCCAGGCTCTGTCCACAGGTATCAAAATCCACCCAGGAGCACTTCTCAATCTTAAAAGATCACATTTCAGCTTGTATATTTAATCCTTTCAAAAACCTATGCGTAGAAATGACAGTTGCGCTTTCATGGTGTGCCAGTCTGTGTCTTGGCCTTATGCAGTAACTTTGTTAGCTAGTAATCTTCAGAACTGCTGGTTGGCTGACTTTGTTACCTTTGCATTGAGGTATGATAACTTTTTCCTCCTCACCACACTCTTTTTGCCAGGCTGCATTAATTAAATTAGCTGCTGGCTGTTGTTTTATTTTTACTGTACACAGACATGATAGCATTATTTGATTTGATTTTGATTTGATTTATTTATTCTTTCAAGTATGTAAAGACAGTTGATATGTCTCACACATAATTTTACACATATCCAACAAATGCTAATCCAATATCAATTTGCTTATACCTAGTACATGCTTGAACGGAGTAGGAAGAAGTCAGACTTATCCAGTCCTACCCCATGACATCATCTTACCATCATTGGTTTGCAAGCAGTATCTCTACATAGATAATGATCTTCTACACCACACAAGTAATATACTAAAGAATTATAACAGTGTTAACATTCTTACATAATTACATTCTTAAATAATTATCGTCCAGTCTGGAGACTCTTGGAAAGAAAGCCAATAAATCAATTTCTCAAAATGTTGAGCTATTTCAGATCACCCACACCTCTAATGATGGAATAAGCATTATCAGAAATTCCTGATTTTCCACTTAATTCTGTTTCTAGGGGTTAACTTCAGACCCTTCACTCATTGGATAAACACTCTTTTGCTATTATTATTTTTTACCCTTCCATTTCTGTCCTGAGATCCTCTTCATTTTATTACTTCTAAATTTCACAGTTGCCCAACTTGCAGACAACACAGAGAAAGGGCAAATATTCACAATGAAAATATCCGCCTCTCATTTTCAATCGATCATCGCAAAGAGAGCAGAAGGTAGTCCAACAGGGGATTTGTTCAGTTTTGAGGACAGAACGCCCCCTCAAGGCCTGCTGGCTTTAGACAACAAAAGCTGTGAGATATTTGTAATCCACCCCCCCACCCCCCCACCCCCTGTTATTTATTTTGGGAAGACAGCATGCAAAAGGCTTGCGGTCAACTAGTGCTACAACAACTCTATCATCAACAAGACTCTTCTCTCCATCTGAGTATGCAGCCTTCCAACTTGTAAAGACATAATTACCTGTCTGTCTATGGAGGATTGTTAGGCACTTAAGATAACACGCGTGCTTCAGCAGCTCACACAGAAATTCATAGAGGATAATTAGGATTCGGGGGAGACCCCTATTGTCCATTATCTTTTATCCAATAGGCTTGATATTATTCAGATGTATTCGATTGAAATGCAAATGTGTGCACATCCTCTGCTGTATTTTGCCATCTTATGAATAATGTTTTTCTTTTTGCAGTTCTAATTATGTCAAAAGAGTTTTCACCATGACAGCAGTTTGAGATAAAAGCTTCCAAGTTCGCCCTCTTGACTATATGGAAAATGAGAAACAACTTTTAGATGTGATGATATCTCAGAGATGGCAAGATGCAGGAAAAGATCCCATTTATCACCAGCCATCTTACTAATCACACCTTGTTTCACTTCATATTGCAGACCAGAAATTGAGAGCAACAGCTCATATCTGTGGATCAATGTCTTCACTCTTGCTCCAGCTGAATGCACGAACTCTTTCTCCCTTCTTGTCTGCCTCTTTCCCACTAGCCCTATGACTGTGCGAAAAGGCAAACGTTTAGGCATCTCCATCCAGGAGCACATGGCCATTGACGTCTGTCCAGGCCCCATCCGCCCCATCCGCCAAATCTCTGCCTACTTCCCTCGACTCTCACCCACTTCTTCTTTCTCTGAGCCGCTCTCCCCCAATCAGGTGGCAGCACCCACCGTGCTCAGTCCTGGTAACACAGGTCAAGGTGGAGGGGTCATTGGAGGTGGGGGAGAGGGAGGAGGAGGAGGAGGAGGAGGAGGGAGCAGTGGGCTGTTGTCCCCGCTATTACCAGGGGCAGTGGGTGGAGGGGGTTCACTGTCAGCCATGAGCAGCATGGACACCTCCATTGAGATCGACAGCTGTGACAGCGATGATAACAGTGAGTCACCTGACACTGATGGATGAAGGGCGGAATAGATAAAAATTACACACTCAGCACTGGTGTGAATTAGAGGAAAAGGCCTAGAATGCTCCAAACTAGTTATTGTGATGACACCTGTCAAACTCTGTGTTGTCGTACAACAGATATGAGCAGCAGATAACACTTGACTTTTTAAAACAAACACTGGGTCTTGCAATTCAGTCAGAAATAATCTAAGGTGGGCTTCCTATTTATAGAAGCTAACTTTGTCAGCTCTAATAAGACTGTCTCTAGAAGATTTCATCAGGTACGCATAGCTAGTGGAAGCAAAATGGTTACACTTTTTGTCTAAAATACTAAATCACAGTGACGGAGCAGGCTTAGTGAAAAGTCCAGGAAATCAAAACCAGATAGGGATAAGAGCAGACAAAGTGAATGGGGGGAAGTAAGCTGAAAACAGGCAACAACCTAGTGGAAAAAACTAAAGATGTCATCCAAAAACTCCAGGCAGCGGATCCAAAAACAGGGGAAAACCAGATGGAGGAGGTAAGAATGATAGCTGATTTGGCAGGGAGCAGAATGTACAAAAGCTGGTATATGTACAGCAGAAAAAGTGAGGGAATGAGGAACAGGTGTGCAGGGCAGAGTCAGGTGATTGGGAACAGAGGAAACATCTGAAGGGAAAATGACAAGGGGCAAAATACTCAGGGCTGAGACAGGAAACAGTCTGATTTAGTGCACTGAAACCAATTAAATATAACATGTTATAGACTGTTTAATGGGCATACAAACTGAAAGGTGAAAATGACAGGCAAATTTGGTATCTGTTGTCCTACAATTACATTACCAAGCTACAATGTGTTAAGATGTGCTGGTAAATGTTTTCGTTACCTTTAGACAGAACAAGCCTAGCCGGTTTCCCCTGCTTCTACCTTTATGCTAAGATAAGTTAACTGCCTGTTGGTTGTAATCTTTTATTTGCCAGATAGATAAATAAGTGGCATGAAACTTTTCATTTAACCCCCAGCAAGCGAGTGAATAATTTCCCACAATGCTGTGCTATTCCTTTAAGCTCAAAAATGTGCATGTTTGACTGTCTACACTAAGGCAGGGCTGGACTTTTTTTTTCTTGCTAGTCTTTTTATTTCTCCCTACCACTATTTCTCTTTCCTGGATAATAAAGTCGTCAGCACAAAGGTAATTACTTAAAAAACTGGTAGACATTTTTTTTTTACCATCTGACTCTTTATTAACTGCCTTCCAGCCTCTTTGGGAACGTTAGAGTTTGACCTACTGTATGAGAGAGCCACCAGCTCCTTACACTGCACAGTCCTGAGAGCAAAGGTAAATACATTCATGGCTATAGACTCTTTGTCCTGTACCTTTTCAACTTTATTAGCTGATAAAAGTTTCACCAGCTTCATCAAAATAAAGAAATCCTTACTCCTGCTGTGCATGTGTTTAAAAAAACAGCTAATCTTTAGATGAAAATTAATCCCTGTCTCAAGGTACTTTTTCCACCATTTGGTATCACCTCAGCTTGCCTGGAACCTCAATGGAGGTGATACCCAAAATAGCACCGGGTACGATCCCCAACATCTGACTGATGGAAAAACAAATAAGTCGGGTCCAGCTGAGCCGGTACCAGTTGGTGGAAAAGGGGCTTAAGTGAACAAGCTCAGCTAGTTGTTCTTCATTACTGGTGTTGGCAGTCTGAATACTGATCTTCACCAAGAGTTTTATTTCTCTTATATCTTATGCCCCCTCTCTGTCTCTATAAGGGTCTGAAGCCGATGGATTTCAATGGTTTGGCCGATCCGTATGTAAAGCTGCACCTGCTGCCAGGAGCCTGCAAGGTCTGATTTTATTCATCAGAAGTATAGCACAGTTTTGTCCCTGTGTTTTGCTGCAATTGAAATGACCTCTGATAAGTGTTACTGAGGACCTTTGAGTGCCCATTTAATTCATGCTATAATTTCAGAGCTGCACCATGAAAATGCAAGTGCGGTTCAATAAAACACTAAAACAAAACAACCCTGTGGCCAGAAAGAACTTGTTTACCTGTTGAGGCGCATTACTGTTAGCAGCTCTGAGACAAAGCTTTGAGTTCTATTATTGTTCTCCTCTTCTCTCTGCTGTGCAGGCCAATAAACTGAAAACCAAGACTGTTCGCAACACATTGAACCCCGTGTGGAATGAGACACTCACCTACTGTGGAATCACAGAGGAGGATATGTACCGCAAAACACTCCGGTAAATGTTTGCTGTAGAGGCCTTTGCACTATTTCTGTCCTCTTCACATCCTGCCTCTCCATTCCTATCAGATAGCATACTCCTGCTTACAAAGGCTTTCTTATCATATATCTCTGAGTGTTTTGCTCTCGGTCTGTAAGCCTTTATCCTTTCTGTTTCATGTCTCTGCTGATCCTTTGATCCTCTGTCACTTCACCTTCTTTCCTCCCTGTCTTTACATCACTCCTGTCCACTAGAATCAGAAAGGATCTCCCCTCACGCCGTCGACACCATTCCTTTCTCTGTCTTTCTTTCCATCTGTCTCTTTGCCTTTCTCTCTTTCCGAGCTGCAGTGACAGATTGAGGTCAGACTAAATACCGCAGGGTGTTTTAATTTCAATGACCCCTCCAGAGGTGACGAAAGCAGCAAACTGTCTCTGCCTGTGACTAAAACTTTGACATAGCAGACATGGGAGTGGGATTTAAATCACATTGACGTTTGATCTCTCAGGGGAAATTAGAGAAACTACCCCTACAATCCCATGTTTAATTCAGTATAGACATTTTAAGATCAGGAAATGGGAGGCTGAATCTAAATATATAAGCATGTTGATCTTACTGATTGAAATGCACTGATGTTTGAAATTGAAAATTGTCTATCAAGTTATTTTTTCTGAGCACACAGTAACAGTCAAATGCTTACAGTGTGACTACAAGGTTAAACAGCAGAAGATATTCCAGCTGTGTATAAAATATCAACACATTTGTGTCAGTAATTCAGAACTTAGGTGAAATGTGCAGACTTGCTTTTTTTTTACTTAACTCAAAATACTTTGAATACAGGAAAGAAAGGGAGGTTCTCCTGTTCATTTCCAACTTCCAACCTGCAGCTGCAGGCAACAAACAGCAGTGTCTCTGTCTCTCTGAAGTTTAATAAAAGGGAAATGCAGACAATTGCAGAGCTTAGAAGCTTTAGAAAGTATAATTTATACATTGCAACTGGGTATTTTATATTGGTGTTTTTCAGACATGCACTGGAATCCTGAAATGATCTAGACATTACCCGGAGGAGCTGCATGTGAGAATGTGAACATCTGAGTCAGTTGACCCGAACAGTGAGCGGGCTTTACCCTGCCAGCTCCCTAGTACAAAGTCCATCTGAAATCTGAGTAAGCCCACACGAGAAAACAGTTCACAGTATTCAGTGAGCTAATGGGCATGTTGGTGACGTTGTATCATGTGCCTGGTGCAAAACCAGAAGAAAACAAACATCTGATTTTGAAAAAAAAAAAAAAGGTAATCTACAATGAAGATGCCAATTAAAATATATAACTGGAGACACAACAAGATTCTGCAACTTGTGTCATTAGGAGCTGGCACCAGAATCTTAGACAAATTTAATGTATGGCAAGAGACTCGGTTTGTATGACCAAATTACAAACTGGCTACATCACTATGTCATGTCCTGCCTCCAGCATGCTCTACCCAAGCAACCCCACCTCAGATAAACCAAAGTATTTCCAGTAGGTGAGAAGGTGTCTGACACATACAGTACTATCTCTAGCTGTGTGCTGCATGTATAAAAGGGCAACTCTGGACAAAGTCCGGGTCTAATTTTGCAGACACAGTGCGGAGTTCATGTGTAAAAATGGCAATTTATTTTATCCACAAGTGAGTTTTGACCTATTATCTGGTGTACAGTGAGGGTCCACAATAGGAAATGATTCCTGCCAAGAAGGAAAAAATCAAATAAAATCATAAAACCTTGTGATTATTACAAATGAAAATACTAATGGCTGCTTAAGTGAAAATGATGTGATACTATATCAAACTTTCTACCTGTCTCACAGTTTTCAGTTAGGTCATATTTTGACTGAGCTTGGGAATTTTTATTTTATTGTCTTTGTTGTTTTGCTTAGAAACAGGCTTCCATAAGATCCCAAACAAAAGGTGCATTGCAGCATTTATCCATTACTTGACTAATGTCAGTGACTGAGACTTCAGGCGCCTGCCCTGCAGGACTCTTAAGTTACATTTTTATTTGCATGCGTTATTCAATCTGACATTTTTATTTAAGTCCAACATTTAAGTTGGTGAAAGGGTGTGTGAATTAGCTTTATTACCTTTTTTTTTTTTACTGACATTATGAAATTTTTTTAATGCTGTGCTATTAAAATGTGTATATACTGTGTAACTGCACACTTACTGTAACATCTGTGTCACAGTGTAATGACTTTATGCTTCATTTTCTTTACACTCGATTGTTTGGCCTGTCATACTCTGACTTGCCACAGATTTCCTTTACTCTTTCAGCTATTGCACCATCCTTCACCGCTCAGCTTTGGCTGAATTCATATCTCTTTTCTCTCTTCTACTCTCAGCAATTTTTTTTTGCTTTGTACACCAGCTTCTTTTTATTTCCTCCTTTTCATTTTTCCTATTTTTGCTTCTATTTCATTTTGAGGGGGTTGGGTCTTTTTTAAGCTAATAAACTAAATCACCTCTGGAGATGTCAACATTTATCAAGCAACTGTATTTTTACACCTTCCACATTTCTGCAGTAGCTTTTATTAACAGAAACTGAAGGCAGCAGAGGAGTGCGACATTTCATTCTTTTGGGAATGAATTTAGTTACAATTCAACAGACTGACAGACTGTGAGGCAATACATTCATATCTGTACTTTTCCTATGGCAGACTGTATTTTTTTATTTTCTTCTTCTGCACTGCATGTGTTTCATTCACTTTCATGTAAAGCGCAGATTTCAATTACTCTGTAGCACTGACTCTTCCCTTCTGTTTATAGATATGCACATTTGCACACATAAATTATGCCTCACACACATCTTTCATTTTTATCGCTCCCTCTCACCCACATTACGCCATCCCTTGCTCGGTTTCCCATACACAGCCCCCTCCATTTCTTTCACTCTTCTCTGCTGCTCCCACCCACTTTTGCATTTCAAGTGACATTATAGCACTTGTAAAACTTTGCCAGGGCCATAAATATGGATTGACTTAACTTTCACTTTCACACGATCTGAATTCCCACAGGAAAGAAAAATGGAAATGACCTGTACAATGTGTGTATACAGACACTGGATTATTGTGCAGGTGATTTTTTTTCTGATCGTGTTCCCTGTAGTTCAGGCCTGCAACTTCCTTCCCTCATTACAGTGTTGCCACACCATTAGAAATATTTAAATGAGTCTTAATATGTTATGTTGTTTGACTTCCACATGTCACCTTTAAGTGTTCTAACTCTGTGTCTGTCTCATTGATCCGCTCGTCTTATATTAATTCATGTTTTCCTCTCTCACCATCTCTCATCCCCCTTCTGTCTCTCACTCCCAGGGTGTCTGTGTGTGATGAAGACAAGCTGACACATAATGAGTTCATTGGAGAGTCACGGGTGGCGCTGCGCCGCGTGAAGCCTGACCAGACCAAACACTTTAACATCTGTCTGGAGCATCCACCTCCTGTGAGCAGAATAGGGGGTGGAGTATTACAGAGATAAATGGTTGAATAGTACAGTGATATGCAAAATAATAAGCCTTGTCTGACTCACAACCTCATCTTTTAAAGTAGAAATAAAAAGAAAATTCTTTAAATGCCAACAGGGAGGTGTTAAAATGCCAATATTTAGTAGACATACCAATCCGCTCCAATGATGACTACACACCTGGGTCTCATAATGCTTCAAACATGTAACATCGTTAGCAAAAGAAATGAACAAATGATTCTCACAGAGCTGCTGACTCCAAACACCTCAACTCACCTAAGACTCCAGTGTTATCCACTGGTTGACTAATGCTCTGTCTTTATAAAGAGTTCGATTAGCCTCTGATAAAGCTATTAGTTAACAACTTACAACGTGGCACTGTCAAATTTAAAACATCACTGTCTGCTATGTATAAAATGCAGCCCTATGCAGACACATTACATGGCCAAAAAATATGTGGGCACCCAGACATTACATTAGTCCAGAGCCACAATCATTACTCTGCTGTTATAACAGCCCCCGCTCTTTGCAGAAAGCTGTGGGGTCTGCTGCAGGGATCTGCTCTACTTCAGGCCCAAGAGCATTAGTGACTGCTTACAGCGATAAAGCCTGTCTCACAGTCACCATTAAAATGAATCCAAAAGGTGTCACGGCTCTGTACAGGCCAGTTCTACCAATATCACATTTAAAGAAAACCAAAAGAAACTGTCTTTATGGACCTCACTTTTTGCACAGGGCCACTCGTATGGAAATAGGAAAGGGGCTTCACCAAAATGTTGCCACAAAGTTGGAACCACACGGCAGTCTGAAATGTCAAAGTTTAAAAATTTCCCCTAATTACAGTGCGCCCAAGTCAAGAAAACCACCCAGACCGAAAGCATGCAAAAGACAAGGGTGTCCAAATACCTTTGACCATACAGTGTAATAAGCCAACATCAGTATTGGCCTCCTGACATAATTGAGATGATTCCTGCCTCCTCAGAGGGCGGCACATCATATCTATTCTTAAAGCCCACAAATAGCTTTTTGTGCAGGCTAAATGTCAGCCAGGTCACATGTGGGAAAAGGGTACAGAGAGAGTAAGAATAAAAGGTGAGGAGAAAGAGCAAGAGGCGAGGGGGGCCGATGGAGCATCGATAAACAGTAAGAGAGATGAGAAACAAGTGGATTAAAAAGTGAAAGTGGTGGAGAGCGGGGGGTATTTGTGTAAAAAAAATTGGGGGGGCTTGGGCTTTTGTTCTATGAGTTGGAAAAGGCTATTGGTATTAGATTGGCCCCCTGAGGCCGGTGGCCACTCTGCGATCAAACACTAAAGCCCCTCTCGCATCCTATGAGACAGATGCTATGTTGGCCTGTAATTTTCAAAGTGGCTTCGCCCTCGACATAATGCATCTCTCCCTGTCTCTTCAACTTTACTCCTCTAACATGCATCTTTTCTGCCAGTCATATCCCATTTTATTTATGTCTCCTTTTTCCTCTCTCTGCCTCCAGCTGCCTTCGCCCACTGCAATGAGCACAGCCCTGAGAGGAATCTCCTGCTACCTGAGAGAGGTGAACATGTGACTCTGTTTCGGTCAACATGACCGTCTTTCTGTTATCTGTTCCCTTCCAGTCCATCTTTCAGCCTGCCTTAAAGGATTGGTCACCTTGTCCAATATGGGACTAAATGACCTTCTCCAAAATCAGCTTTTTTTCTGCTGGATCTTACTGTGATCTTATCCTCCTAAAAGCAGGAGGATAATAATTCTCATTCTCTGGCCTTTATATTCTTCTGAAAACAAAATCTTCATCAGTCTTCATTTAAAAAAACACCTGCACAACAGGTTTTACTGCCTATGTCTAACTAGTGGCAAAAATGTAGATTAATGGGTTAAATTAATCCACAACTATATGGATTTTTCTTTTTTTTTATTAAAATCGTTTAAGCAAAGATGTTAAACATTCAGTGGTCCCAGCTTGTTGAGGGAGGATTTGCAGCTTCACTCTGTTGATAAGGATGACACCTTGGTAACCAACAGATGATTTTACAGCTCTCATCACACATTGAGTACATTCACAAAGGGGCCAAACCAAACAACAAATGTGGCCTTTTAATTTTTTTAAGATAACTGGAGGAAAACAGCTGCCTCTGTGTTTCTCACCATATTCGCACCTGATTAATATGACTGCTGATCATTTTGTCTCTTCCCTTGAAATCCCGCCCACACATATATCCGCTTCCTAGTCATCGCTGTTAATGTGTGTAGCTCTATTATTTCCACCTCCCTAATAAGTCGCTCTATCGATCTGTGAAGGTTTTATTAGCAGGTACCTGGTACAAATTATCCTCACTAATTGCAAGTTTTAAAGTCTCCTGCTCATCTGATGACAGATGGTGAACTGGCTTTTGGCAGTTATGGTAATCTCCAAAGAAAACAGAGATAAAGAGAAGGGGAAGATGGGAAAGAGAGAATTAGGAAGCAGAAGGGGGAAACTGGAGAAACAATTAGAAAGAGGGAGGGAGGAACATGGAGAACTGTGGGCCATGTGGCATATTGATCATCTTGGCCGTGTCCACCTCACGCCTGAAGATAAGACTTAATGAGAGATAGAGAGACAACAGAGAGCAGAGACATTTAGCAAACAATACTGTTGTAGGGTGACAGACAATAAAACAGCCTCTTCTGTTTTCTGTCAAGAAGAAACAAAAATAACACAGTTGAAAATCATGCACCTGCAGTGAAGAAGGTGCCAAACTAGCAAATGTTCATGTTTCCTATAAATAGCAAACACGTATTGCTACTGTTGGCCCTGAGTGTGAGTCACAGTCCTGTGAGAACATCATCTTCCCCTTCTTCCCCCTCTGTCGCTGCTTCCTCACTTTCTTTCATCTGTCATTTTGAATCTACTCTGTTGTTACGCTTGTTGTCAAATGCGTTGGTAACAGTTTGATTTTGTCCATGAAAAACACTCAAGCCAGGAGCGACAACGTGCATTAACATGACTCAAGGGCAGAAGCTTCGTTTTGTCCAAGACAGGTCTTTGCCATTGGACTAGCTGTGCTCCCGTTTTGTTCTGAGTGGCAGAGATAGTAGGGTTTGTCTCAGAGCTGTGGCACAAGGACTCAAATGTTAGATGAAAGTCATTGTTCTCTTTTAAAGTGAGTCTGCTTATGAGACTAAGAAGAGAGATGAGCCTCACCACAGCCAGATACAAAAAGTGGAGTAAGACATTTGAAAGAAGAAATGACCCATTTTTCTTATTACAGATAAAAAGTTGAATTAATAAACAATAAAACCCACCTGTGCTCAATTCAGTACATTCAGGGGTTTGTGCGGCTACAACCTTACATGGTCTGATATGATCAGTAGTCCATGGTGGCTAAAGCCCCTTTTCCACCGCCTTACCTACCGGCTCAACTCAACTTGACTTGACTTGCTTTATTTGCGTTTCCATCAGTGAAATGTTGGGGATAGTAACTGGTACCTGGTACTATCACCATCCTTGCTTAACTGAAAAGACATCGTTTACCTGAGAAACTGACAAAAATGCAGGGCAGGTAATGTACTTTAAGTTTAATTAAGCAGATGGATTATAATAGCTGATGGGAGCTGTTGCCTGGCTCTCAAACATCATTTCAATATATGAGGCATGATTTTAACTCATAAAACCTTAAGTCACTACTTTCCAGCTAAAAATGCAGCTCACACACCTGTTACTCTCCTTCAGTGGGAGACAGAGCAGAAGAGAAGTCTAGAAGAGAGAGGACGCCTGCTGCTCTGCCTGCAGTACGTCCCCCCGGCCAGTGATGGCGACGTGAAAGGCGAGGCCAAAGACAGGGCTCGTGGGGGCCTGTGTGTGGGCGTCAAACGCTGCGCCCACCTGGCAGCCATGGATGTCAACGGCTTCTCAGACCCCTACGTTAAAACGTAAGGATAACATCAAACCACTGACTGAAAGCCAGTGTAAACATTATGCAACTGGATGCATTTAAAATGATGCATATAGAACACACAGCTCAGACTTAGGGACTGACATTTTATGACCCTCATTTCAAGACAATTTTCACAAGACCTGTCCAGCCTCAATCTCCCTCATTACCTCTTGGTCTTAACTTGACCCGTGAGTCATCGTTTGTCACCACTCATGAATTATATATAGCTTTAGTTAACCCTGCATAAGGTGATGTGACAGATGAGGGCAGCTTTCACACAAGCAGAAGCCTTTGTGAAATATGTCACATTTTCGTCAGGATAATGATAACAGTGTGTGTCAAATGACAACCTGTCAATTGGCCTGGTCTAATGTATAGGCATATCGTATTATTAAGGAGGCACACGACAAAGAAAGACTGACTTGGGAGCTGGGGTTTCATTTTTCACTGAAAAACAATACGGTGTGTGTCTGTGTTTGTGACAGAGTGCAGGAAGCTCCCTGGGTTGAGTGATGCATCCTGACAGGAAATCAACAAATGAGATTTAAAATCCCATTTTCTGCACTCTGTGTTCTTCTCAGCGCTGGTTCTGGCCTAAGTAAAACTAAACAGCCTTCCATCACCCACGCATTCATAAACACAAAGATGGGCGTGCTACCATGCTCACCTCACCTCAGTACGCACTCATAATCTTCTTTATCCTTTATCATCATGCCTCAAACTGAAATTTTCTCCCTTTTTACATCCTCCAAACCTACGCACACATCAGTAAAACATCATGCACCTCGTTTCATTCCGAATGCGTGCTCGCGTCTTTGCCCTTTGGAGGGAGCTTTTTCCCAGATGCTTTGTTGTGTCTGAGTGTGTGGGAACATAAGCTCTCTGAGCTGTGGGTGGTGGGTGGAAAGCAAATGTGAATAGAGATTTTGCCACGCTCCTTCCAGCTGGCTTAAAAATATCTGGAAGATTCAGCGATGGCTCGCGAAAAGGACGCCGAGCTTTTTCAGTCTGCACTGTGTTGGTGAAGGAATTATTAGTAGTCACATGGGATTAGTTTCACAAATAATGCATTAAATCTTTCAGGGAATAGTTTGACATTTTGGGAAGTACAGCCTTGCTTTCCTACTGGGAGTTAGATGAGAAAACTGTTGACGCTCTCTTGTGCGGACTACAAGTCTGGAAACAGGGGAGCAGCCATCCTGTCCAAACGTTTTTTTAAAAATCCACCTACCAACACTTCTAAATAGCCGTAATGAGCAATTTATCTCATTAGTTCAATCCATTTAGAGGGAGTGTTTCTTGGCACATTGAGCTTTAGAGTCATTTGTAAGTTAGCTGGTTTCACTTGTTTCCAGCCTTTATGCTAAGATAATCTAAACAGCTACTGAATGTAAAGGTGGAAAACAACTAAGCATATAACTTAAGTATAGTTTTGAGGTCTTTGTACCTTACTTGAGCATTTACATTTTCTGCTACCTCATACTTTGATTCAGAGGCAAATGTTGTACTTTTACCTCAACTTCATTTGTTTGGTAACTTTGATCACTAATTACTTTTCAGAATCAGATTAATAATATAAAATATAATATAATCGTGAGTCTTACAAGCTACCCCGCAGTATGAACATAATTCAAATTAGAAGCATATAAAGAAGTAGAAATTGGTTTCACTTTTACCAGCTGCAACATTAAAGTGATGAACACTATAACACATCAATAATTAAATCCAGTAACATAATACTGTCTACAACAGAGCTGACATGTTTATAGTAGCTGACAAAATGTCCCACATCATTTCCAAATTTATGTCCGAAAACCCGGGCACTGCGGGGTCCCATCAGGCTCGGTTCAGGTATTCACACTCTAATATACAAAATGTGAAATGTTCTGAAACATTCTGCATAATGAATAAATGTTAATGCTTTTGTACTTTTACTTGAGTAACATTTTGAATGCAGGACTATTACTTGTAGCTGAATATTTTTACAATCTGATATTGCTACTTCTATTCAAGTAAAAGATCTGTGTACTTCTTCCACTGTAACTTGATCTCTATTGCACAGATGCAGTATAACTATTCTGTTAATTTTTCTGAATCGTTCTTTACTGAAGAGGTGTTTAACAATGAATTAACAGTGACAGAAACAATAACTGCATCTACCCATCACTGACAATTCCAAAGTGAACATCATGATTTTTCTACATGTATGAACCATCATGTTTTCCCCTTTGTGTGTTAGCATTTCTTTCAGCACTGCTGTGATTGTGAACAATAACAACCAGACTTATACATCACAGTATCACCTTCTTCTGTGTCAGGTACCTCAAGCCAGATGTTCACAAGAAATCCAAGCACAAAACTGCAGTTATAAAAAAGACTCTCAACCCGGAGTTTAATGAGGTAGATATCCCTGTTTGTGCATGTGCACGAGAAGCACATTTACAATGACTGAATGTAAAGAGATAGCTCATTTAAACAGTCCTCAGAGACGCCATGCTGCATCCAAAGTTTCTGCAGTCTTTTAGTAATACAGCCAATTATAGTTTGCATATTATCAACTGCTGCCTCATTAGTCAGTATTTTAGAGGCTAATTGAAGAAGCACAACATGTGTGTTAGGCGTCATCTTCTGAACTTTTCCCTCTTTGTTTTCATCCAGGAGTTCTTCTATGAAATCTCCTTCTCAGAGTTAGCCACCAAAACACTGGAGGTCACGGTGTGGGACTACGACCTGGGAAAGTCCAATGACTTCATAGGTGAGTTGACACCATAAGCACGTTGGCAGCTAATAATTTCCTGCTTGTCAGCTTAGGGCTGCTGATTAGGGGCTGGCTACTTTATTAGCAGTCTAATAATGCTGTACCCATGGCAGATGTTGCCAAAGATATTTTAAGATGTTTGCTATTATCTGCTATCATCTGAATGCAGCGCTGAGTGTAATTTGCAGGTTTTATTTGCCAAAAGAATGTCAGTGATGTTTTGGCTGAAACTGAGCTTTACTTGCTCTATTAGCACCCTATTCCCATATTTGAATACCTTTTTTGTCTATTTCTATCTTTTTGTCAAGATTTTTCTTTCTTATAATATGTAAAGATTAAGTCTGTTGTTTTTCTTTTATAGTTTGTTTTAGAAATCCCATGAAAAGACCAACACATTGTTAGTCTGTCTCTCAGTACGTTCAGACTTCCCATCCCTGTTCTGTCTGTGGCACTTAACACTCGCTTGTTCTTACTGAAGACATGCTGTAAATCTTTAAAAACAAGTCACAAACAGATTGTAGTTTCATTTTTCCAAAAAACTTTAGTGATTTCCTATAACAGCTGGCCACTTTACATTTTAGCAAACATTACTCACATAGGGGTGCATTTGTTAGGGACTATTTTCAGCTGTGAATCAACAGCCTACACATTTGGTGCGCTGCTGGTTTACACCACCAGAAGCGTGTGCAGTATGTGAGATTGACTCAAAATAAACTACAGTGCCATGTTCACAGCAATGCAGGAAAAAGGCCTCCTCAGTGCAACAGGGCATGTGTTTTTTCATGGGATAATACTGCAATAGCAACAAAAAATAAACTACATCAGGCTGAAAATACACAGGCAATAGGATGAATTCACTGTTGGGCAGTCAGTCGGTGGCAGCAACAAGAGTAACTGACATAACTGTAATACTTTTATTTTGTAATTTCCACTTTTTCCTCTGAACCAGTTATAACTATGTCAGCATTTTCAAATAATATTTTAAAAAGGCAATTCCATCATTTCTATTGTTACATTTAAAAGAAACATCTTATTATTAGATGAGATTACACTAAAGAAGATTCAATCTGTATTAAATTCAGTGCGAAAATGATAGTCCAAACACTAATTAATAAGGACTTAACATTTTAAAGGTATGATTAGTTCATTTATTTTGCAAGCCTCATTTTCTTTTGTAATATGAAGAGAAGTTTGTGTCACTCTGTAATTACTCAAACAGCTACTTATTTCTTACAATATACAACTTATTGGGTTTTAAAAGTAATAACAGACAACAACATACTAATGCCATTGTGATCCTACATTTTTATGTGTTAATTTTGAAACAGTTTTCTTTCTGATCATAATCACTGGTATTATTTTTGGCCCTTGCATTGGTTAGGTGGCGTATCCTTAGGGTGTCACTCACAGGGAGAGACTCTGCAGCACTGGATAGACTGTCTGAAGAACAAGGGCAAGAAGGTGGAGCGCTGGCACACGCTGACCAACGAGCTGCCTGGATCCACAGTGCAGGAATGAACTGAGCCCCCTTGCCCACTCTGACACTGGAGGAAAAGTCTGAAGACTTAGGATGGGAAATATTTCATTGCATGCTCTGAGGGCTTTCTGCATGACTATGAAGGATTCATATCCTACTTACTTTGTGTCATAAATGAGTTCATAATTCATAACGGTGAGCCTAAAGGGTTCACATTCAGAGGACAAAATTCTAATCTTGGCTCTAAATAGACCTGATGCAAATATAAGAAACCCTCCCATCTGCTAAGCCAAGAGTGTGCAAATTCTCATAATCACATTTATAGAGATCCATGTTCCTTTTGTGGATTTTATTTCGGTCTAACTGGTCAGATCTTAATCTACAAAAGAACTGAAATTGTGCATGACATTACAATGTCCCTCAATGTAGTTTAATGATTTGGCATTTTGACTCTAATGTCGTCCCTCATGTCAGGTTTGCTTGCTCTTATTAAATCTATCCTGTTATTTTCATTAAATGCTGACATTAGAACGCCACCGTTATGACCATCTGTCTCACCACGCACACATCTCTCCCTTGCAATAATGTTCTGCATAATGCTTCCGAAGACTTCCAAGTGGTCTTAATACTATCAGATGTTTTGTATCTATTGAGCTGCCACTGGACTGCCAGCAGACAGCACACCCTGATAAGATTATTGGTTCTTCCATGTTGATGACTTGTGTCAGTTATTTGCATGTTCAGTGTTGATGGAGCAAACTAAAAGAGAAATATGTGCCAGGCTCTGCTGCAGGATAAAATGTTCATCGTGGTGTTGTTCCCAGTTCTCCTAAGGTGTATTGCTCTGATTAACAAATGAGAATTTTTATTTGATTTGAGCGTAGTTTTTTTTTTTTATATTCACAGGTGTTTGATGTGTCAGCTTCTTGTTAATGACACACTGATGTTTTGCCTCACATCCCCATAGATGTACAGAAGAGGACAGAAGGGTAAGTAACAGAGAGGTTTCAGAGAGCTGTGCATGTTACTGTACTATGACACACAGTAGGTAAAATCATCAATCTTTGTTTAATCTTCGAATTACAAATATGAATGATGTATAGAGCACAGTGCTGTGTGCTGTCTCTCTGTGGCTGCTGTACTAATGACTGCATTAACCAAGTTGAAGGTTTTATCTGTGCTCAGTCTCCTGTGATATCAGAGGCATGCTGAAAATACCAGTGGTGTTCATATGTAAAGATATATGGTGTTTCACTTGCTTTGGATGTTTGTCTTTGGAATATAAACTGTGCATGTTTTTTTCATAAACTATTCATATTGATTTATTATGTGCATCCTTGAATTTCTATTATATTTGTTCCATGGCTCCACAGGGACCTCTGAACCTCTGATATTAACTTAGGCTCAATTTAGGTGCAACACTATAAAGCCACCGCTGCCACCTGGTGTTCGGGATCTGCAACTGCAGCCTTTTCTCTGACTAATGTGATCAGAAGTGATCAACAGACGGGTCCGAGGGGGGGACCTATTTGTTTTCTACCCCCTACCCTACCCGCTGCAGATTACCTGGATGAGGTGTGTTCAGTCAGACAGAAGCTGGAAGATGCCATCTTAGATGAAGGTGGAATTAGGAGTGTCAGATACAAAATTCATGTGTTCAAAAATGTTTTTCAATTAACTTAAATTAACTGAACTGAATTCAACTTCAGGTCAAAAAATCAATCAATCAAATAAAAAAAACACCACAATATGAAATAAGAAATTCAAATTTGTGGATGACCAATGGTTCTTCTTCCTCTTGTATTTTAGGCAGATTAGACACTTTGATCGCTTGACTGACAGAGGTCCACACATATGTTTGCATTTGAATGTTTTATCTTGAATTTTGGTGTCTGAATTTCACCAATCCATCCTGAACAAGCTAACTGTACTTTAACAGATGTATACATTTGAGCAACTTCAACACAGCTGTATAGTATATAAAACTTCACAATACACTAAAAAAAAAACTCTGTACATCTGTACTTTTTGAAGTTGTCCTTGCTGAAATGAGTTCCTGAATATTTCATTATGGGTAATTTTCCATATAAATTCAGAAAGATGGTTTCAAAGTAAAATATTTTAGGAATTTCAAGTTGCTAAGAAATATTCAAATTATTATGGTTATCATTTGCTTCCATTTATTGTCTTTTCTTGTTACCATCTTGTGATATTATTTAGATTTTGGCAAAAATCTTTTGAACTTATTTAGGATCAGAGGTCAGAATGAGGTGCTAGAACATCCGGATGCTTTTGGGTAATGTGCTTCCAGAGTATGCTTGGATTAATTGCCATTCTGTAAGAAACACCATGAGCAGAGTGGGTCAGAGAAACAGTCATGGATGTTGGAAGGGAGGCTAACTGTATATTTTACAAATGCAAGAGAGGGCAGAAAAACATTTAAAGCTCTTTGCAGCTGTGCATTTTCTCATGTATCCTGAGTAGGAGGAAGCTCTTTGCGAAATCAGAGAAGGCTACTACTGTTTCATCTTAGTCATTGTTTGTTCCTCGTTGTGCCAAAACGTCAGCTACACTGCTGGATATCTGCCCCCTGCAGAGCCTGGCAGTAGAAGACAAACTTTCCCTCTGTTAGTGTTGCTACTGCTACTATGAATTCTAACAACAACAAATTAACAAATCAAAAGTGCTTTGCAAAGAATACAAAATCAGAACATTTCTAGCCCAATTTGATCCATATTATGAAACTAAATCAAATGAAAAAAAATAACTGGAATTAAAATATAGCTTAATTTAATTTCCGCTGTAAGTATATACACAATTTGAAAGACTTGAACTCATTCTGCCTGATGGGAGAGCATCTAAACATATAGACTTAAGTTTAGTATAGTGCTGTACAGTATACAGTTTTACTATACGATTTACTATTGGCCAGTGAAATATCAGAGATGTAAGGTGAATTATTTTATACTAATTTGCTCTAAATTCAACCTCACACATCTGGTATCTTTGAAAAGTTAAGGAATTTTAAAAAAAGTCAATTGGGTTTGAAAAGTCTTTGGCTGCACATTGACCTGTAATGACTAGTCCACCAGTGGGACAGTAGACAAATCCGAAATAACATGGTTTTGAAGATTTAAAAGACAGTTTTGTGGAATCTCTTTAGGTGGGTTCACTATAGCCTACAGGTTTAGCTAATAACAACAAGCAAGGATCTGGGAAGTTAAGACAGGGGTTGATATGAACCCCAAAGAATCCTTAAAATTGATCATTAAAGCTTATCACTGAGCACTGCCCCACCTGTGGGACATTGCACCCTTATCAACCTTACTTGACCAGACTTCATCGTAACACAACTAAGACATATTATATCATAGGAAACTCTAATTATCACAGTTTCAGCTATGCAAGAAACCAACGTTTACCATCCAACCTGACAGAACTGGAGAGGATCTGCAAGGAGGAATGGCAGAGGATCCCCAAATGCAGGTGTGAAAAACTTGTTGCATCATTCTCAAAAAGACTCATGGCTGTATTAGCTCAAAAGGGTGCTTCTACTAAATACTGAGCAAAGGGTCTGAATACTTATGACCATGTGATATTTCAGTTTTTCTTTTTTAATAAATCTGCAAAAATGTCAAACATTCTGTGTTTTTCTGTCAATATGGGGTGGTGTGTGTACATTAATGAGGAAAAAAATGAACTTAAATGATTTTAGCATATGGCTGCAATATAACAAAGAGTGAAAAATTTAAGTGGGTCTGAATACTTTCTGTACCCACTGTACCTATTAGTGTGAACTATAACTGTTTTAAGCATTCCCCTTTATGCCCATTGGTTTTGCACTATATATGTTGTAAAATAGTTTTATTATCAAATGTGACTTTAATATTAACTGCTCCTGTGGCCAGATATGTCTTTTAAAAGAGATAAAGGCTTCCTAGTTGAATGAACAAAAATCACAGCTGTTTCTCAAGCTTACAGAAACATATAAATGTGACATAACAATAATCAGTGATACTCGCCAACCCAACGCAGCTATGCATTGAAATGTACAGTCCTGCAGCAAGTATAAATTATGATGAGCCAAAGCAGTGTGATAATAATTTCCCCTTTTACACAGCAAATCATTTGAGTTCATTTGACTAATAGTCAACAATAGACATTTTTCATGACACAATTTGACATGTCACAGTAGAAAAAGCACAGGTATAAATAATAAAATTAGTAATGGCTGAATCCCAGAGACAAGAGATAGAGCAGGTCTTTCCAAAAAGAAAATCCACAACAATCCACATATGCATTAATAGACACACAATGATTATTTTTCAAGTCTAGTTCTCTTTGTGAATGAAGCAGGAGCTAACTGAACAGCATGGCCACAGGTCAGTATATCTCATTATGCTTTTACATCCTGTGCAAACCGACAGTGTGATCATGATGCGTCCAAATGCTGCCAAGCTGAGTCATAGCCTCAGCGATTATGTGATGCAGCTGGATAATCCCTGACCCACTTATCACATCTGGATGTCACTGGTATAGTGATCCCCTTTTGAATGTACTCTATCTGCTAAACAACTGCATTTTAACACAGGGTTTGTGAGCATGTTAGCATGCTGACTTTAGTCTCTGCCTCAAAGTGTCTTGAGTACAGCTTCACTAGCACCTAGCATAGCTGTGGACTTTTAAATTTTGGCCCTTGAAAAATTACTTAAACTGTTATGATAGGTTGCTGATGAATTTCCTGTCTCGACTCATGCAGAACATGCTACACAATATACTGCAGCCTTTGTCAATCATTGCTGTCAGTTTGGATATCTTTGATATTTACATTTTTTTGTACCCATTCGCTGTTTGTTAAAAATATTCATAAATATTCAAGCTTGAGTAACCAATACCAACTACTACCTGTAGTTTGCTTTAACTTTGTTGCAGTCATCTGAGGCTTTGCTCTCATTACAGCTGATACTGTGTCTTTCCTCAGCTTGGGGCCTCTCCTGTCAGCATTTTGCTCTTCCTGCTGTCTCTGCTCCACTGGCTGACAACAGCAGGCTCTTTCCACTCCTGCAAGCTTACACACTATCACTGTACAGAGAACAACATTAATACTTCATAGGGTTTTTTTTTTTTTAACTTTCATCTGATTATTGCAGAACACAGTCTCTTCTCAGTGGCTAAGCTCCCTGGATATTGCTCAGAACAAAATCACTGCTGCGCTGCTCTTTAACTCTTTGAAACAACACTGAAAACATGTTACATGCATTGTGTCTTTATTATGAATGTGCTGCAGATGTATAAGTGCCAGCTCATTGGTATTTTCAACTTCTATCGTCACACATTAAAAAAATTTCACAACATGCCAATAACCATAAAGATTATAGAAGCCCGATTGTAACACAATGACTGTCGGGAGACTAGATAACAGTGTCTGTACCTACTTTAGATCATTGCTACTTAATGATAACGCATAGGAACTAGAGAGCTAACACAATATTGAGATTTCTGTAGAATACACCAAATACAATTAAATGTACATATTAAGAACTAACAAAAAATTGCCAGCAGGTGTGAACTCATGACAAGTCGTTTCAAAATTCAGGATACAGTGAATAAGGAGAGATTTATGCTTTTTGATTAAATTTAGTTTTGTCAGATCACAGTGAGACTCACAGGTAGATATACAGGAGATATATAATAATTGTAATAAGCCACATTTAAAAAGTAGTTCTGCTGCTATCATCATACTCTGGCACAAAGTAGACATACATTAAGGTGTAAACTGCTCATGAATCCTGGTAAAAAAAAAAAAAAAAAAGGATGTACAGGTGAAAGTACAGGTGACCTGTGGATGCAGCCACAGCTCTGACTGGAATCACAAACTACTGAATTTGTTAACCAAATCATGACGCATACATTGGCCAACTGAGACACGGCACTTCAGCAGCATCATTTTCTGTTTCAAAATGATTTTTTATAAACATTATCAAAAGATAGGTTAGAGAAAACATAGCCCAGTTAGCTTCAGTGCAAAATGGACATGTTAAGTATCTTGCTACAGTGTTTTTGTTTTTTTTTTCTGGTGAACATGTACCCTATTCCCTGGCTCACAGTGGTCAGTGGTGCTGAGTTGATATACAGTAAAGTTGCAGCAGTGTAACAACACTCTCCATGTTTCTCTCTACAACAAGTCTGTGATCAGAGTTGGGTCTTTACAAAGCAAGAAACTTTCCCTCCAAATTCTCTTTGGCACATGTTTATCCTCACAGTAATGACTGTTCCTTCTGTGCCAGACTTTCTGTAATCCCTTCCATTTTAGCACCCATAGCTAGTCCTTAGTAAGCCTCACTTTCATCTTCTTTTTTGCCACCCGTGCACACACTTCTCAAACATAAGCTATAATGCAAGAAGACAGACTAAAAGTGTTTCTGCTCTGTGAGGGAAATAGAAGAATTTCTGCTCTATGATTCCAGTGTGTAAATCCCTTTGCCTCTCTGTGAATCCAAGGGGATTGAACTGCAAGATGAAGCCCTGATGCATCCTGTCACTGGTGCAGTGAGGGATGGATTTGGTGGACATATTGTTGGGGCTTGCATGTGGCACTGAAGCTGGGAGGCAATCGGTCTTGTTTTGTTTTCTGCAAAACAACCCCCCCGCCCCAGGTCTGTGGGTGGTGACAGGATTCCTGAAGGGTTTGTCTTTCTCAAGAATCACACTGAATGTGTTGACCAGAATACAAAGAGACCTATTAGTCCGTCTGCTCCCTTCTCCATCTAACATCAAACACCCCCACCCCCCCACCCCCCAAACTCAGAGCAGCAACATTTGCATATTTTATTTTCTTCCATTTATACCAATTACAGAAATATAAGTAAGCACTGTATGTTAGGTGCATATTTGTCACACATCCAGGTAATGACTAGGTGGTAAAGACGGTGGTGCAGGTGCGGGCCAGGTGGTCAGTTGCCTTATCCAGTTTCATCCTCGGATGAAACTTAGGTTTTCACATTAACTAAAAAAAGAAAAGGAAGTGTATTAGTTTAAGAGCTATATATCTGGCAGTTTAATATGGATGTATATACTTTCACAGACCACAGAAGATATGAGGAAAGACAAAGGTTGTTGAATTCCAGAGCCCTTAAACTTGAGGTGTGTGTACAATTGAACTTGCAAGTCATTACATTAATTTAGAGTTCTCTTAACTTAACGAGAAAGTGTCTTATTGATCTGATGTAAAAATCTGACTGACCCCTCGTGAATATATTTATGCATACAGTACTACAACAAACAAATACTCGTTGTCTTCTTTACTTTACAAGTCACTAATAAGTAATAATCACTGATCTGTTACCAGAATCCCTTTATTTGCCAGGTACAATAAGTGTACATTTGTCTTGTGAGTATATCAACTCACACTGATATACATTGTATACATATGGTACAGGGACAACAAGACTAAACATTTTGTACAAGCAATCAATGCGAGGTGTACAACAGACAGCAGACTACACAAATCACTCTACAGATACACACAAAAATCTAAGGCATGCAGTCGGTTACAGCTGAAAGCCACACATGCAAGTGCAGAGAAATATGTCATAAAATGTAGGTCTGAGTCTGGTGCAAATGTGAATAATAGGTTCTGATCTTTGTGTAGTGTTGACATAGTTCCTAAGGCTAAAGTGCCACAGTGTATAAAGACTCGTGCAGGTATTGTGACAAGGGCGATGGTTGTGCTAACATGAATGGGAATAATGTCAGTGAGTACAATCAGATTGTGCTAAAATATTATATTGTGGTGGAAAAAAACAGTGATAGTAGAGGGTCTTTGGGCCAGGAGGATCAGTGGTAGCAGTGCTATAGCTACAAATCTTTGTCAGTACAATATTCACAAGAAAAAAAAAGTTCAGGGCAAAGAATCAGCTGTGCACAACCACACAGAGGGTGAAGAGGTGAGGTTAAGGTTTAAAGGTCAGATTTGGGGCACTCACTGGCCAGGTTGACAATGCAGGCGATGATAATGACCGTCCCTCCTACTAGTGATACCATCGAGAGCATCTTGGCTACACGCCCCAGACGCACAGCGCCATCCAGGTTTCCCTGCTCGAGACTGTTCTTGGACTGGAGGAGAAGATCAAACCATCTCTTAGTTTTGGGTTTAATACAGATATTTTTTATTTATTATACATTTTTAAAAACACTGTAAACTCAGTTATTGAAAATAAAAGGCATCACAAGAAATAATAACCCTCTTAGCAAAAAAAAAACAAAAACTACAAGAAGTCCTGTTTTTACCATGATGGAGTAGACAAATCCCACAATATTGATGGGCCACACAGGGCAGAAGCAGGCCAGCACGGACAGGAGGAGGTAGTCTTTAACCTTGGTCCGGTCCAAGGGTGGGTCGGTGGCGATGCTGGAGTGGCGAGAAAGCGACGGTCTGGGCGAGAAGGCGGTGTAACCGATGGAGCCCGCCCTGCTCCCCTTCCTGGTCTTGCCTTGATGGGGGAAGGTGATGGAGTGTTGTCTTCTGGGAGGAGAGGAGATGACTGGAGAGGTGCTCTCAGCAGGCGCTGAGGGCATCCCATTACCTACGGAAGAGGGAGAAAAAAGCACAGGCAAACGTTGGAACACTGGAAGAGTTAAATGTGCGTCCTCATCTAGGAGCTCTTTCATGGACTGGAACTCGACTTCCCCTGAGCGAGCTAAGCAGCTGTATTACCCCCTCCCCTCCCACCACCGCCGCCTTATGAGGTCAAACTCAGTCACTTACTGTTTTTCAGCTTCTCGTTGATGACTATGACGAGCTCTCCTTTGGATTTGCTGCGGGAGGGCTGTGTGCTGCTGTGAATGAGTTCACCTCTGACAGGTGGGCATGGCACAGAGATGGAGGTTTGGCTCGACAGAGAGCCCTCCTGGTCCAGCAGCGACGGTTGTTCCTCCCCCGGCCAAATGGTGGGAACTGGCATCATATTCACAGCCATGCTGATAGCCAAAAGAAGCCTCTGTCTGTGGTCCAGTCCTGTGTGTGCCGCCTGTTTTTTTTTTACACCTGGGGGCCAGAAAACTATTTTAAGCATACTTAGGGACTGTACAAAAATTATAGGGGTGGAGCGTTAGAAAAGGGTGAGGCTGATTTGTCTTTCTTTAGAACAGGTAAGCTAAAATTCTTTGGAGTGAAAAAGTGTAGGGAGGGGTTCTAACTTTTTTCCATCACAAACCTCCCAGATACTTTATTACAAACAAGCGTCACATTTGTCCTAACATACCTCCTACAATCATATTATTCCAAAAATAAAATAACATTTGTTTAAATGTGTCAAAATGAGAGTTTCCCCCCTTTGTCAAAATTATTGTTACACTGAAATGGAACTGCTGATTTTACACATCAAATCTGTTTACATTTTAGACAGTACATATGAATATGTCAGAAAGTTATATAAAGCTTCATGTGGCTACTCATGGAGGTGTAAGAAATCTCTATTAGGCTATATTGACTGGAATGTCAGTCAAGTTGCATTGTGAGTAATGAAAACATGGGGGGTTACATCCCAAGTCTCTTATAAGCACTGTCGTTTCCCTCAAGTGCCTATTTATGCTTTGCATTTTTAGAAAAATAGTGAAAATAGAAAAATAGACTGGAAACATGCAGAAGACTCTGAGCTCGCTAGGATACACTTGGTAAACGTGGACATGCCTCCTGCAAAAACAAGTTTAACTAGCTTCATTTCCAAACAATTAAACCATTTTAATAGCGTTGCAGTTAAGATTAGAAAACCAAAAACACCTGCTAAAAAAGTAGCTTAATACAATAAACTAAATCTACTTTACTACATACATAACACCATCTTGAATATTTTTAAGAGAATATTTCAAAATTCAGTGCTAAATCAGTTGAGTGTTCTCTCAAGCTTAAATTTCAGTATAGGCCTATTCAGTAGAGCCATATTATGGAGAGGGTGTTGCTTGTTCGACTGTCTTGTTTATCCCTGTCCATTCATTTCCGGACAGCTCCCCAAGTGCTTTCTGCTTTAGTCGATTTAGATTTTTAAAACCATGTCTCAGCCTCGTTATTGAGTTTGATCACTTCTTACACTACATCGAACTAATGTGCCCAGAGCTCATCTCCAAACAGCTGACTCGCTCCCTCTGGAAACAAAAGCGCAGGTCACCATGGCAGGCGTACAAAGGCATGGCAGATGGAGGCAGGCTCCTTTGACTCGATAGTGGCAATTTTCTCTGTGCAGGTGTGTACATACCATTATTTCATCTTGGACACACAGGAGCCAACTGGCGTGCGGTGGCCGGTTATTAGGCACAGAACAAAAGGCAAAGCAATAGTGTGGGGACAAAGGAGAACACTCTGACTGAATGACGAGGGCGCATTAATGAGCCTGCTGCCGATTTCAATTCGGTGGACGTGCTACTAATTTGCAAAGACAAGCATAAAAACAGACTGCATTGGGTTCTTGCATTTACATCAAACGAGGGGATAACTGCACTAAACGACAGTCAAATCGGAATTTCTCATTAGACAGGAAAATGTGGCTAAGATATCTCAAACTGACCTTTTTTTTTTAATTCAGCGCCCGTCTCAACACAGCCGGAGCCTTGGCATCGTGCCAGCGTTAACCATCAGGAAAAATCCACATCAGACCCGACCAGATATCTCCTCTACAGCCACAATATTAGAAAACATGCAGTGCTCGTTTAAAATCCTAGACTGTTCTCTAATGATATGTGAAAGCTGATCCTGAGCACAGCAGGGCTGATGTATAGGCGCAGTGTGCTGGGATGGATGGGGAGTCTCCTGGATGGCAGGGTGGATCAGAGGAGGGAGGGGGATGTGAAATGAAAAGTGAAAATCAACCAGACTGGGAGGAGGAGAAGGGGTCGGGCCACTAGATTAAAGCATCTTATCCCCTGCTCAGTTGAAAACATTGAATATTTATCCACTGACGCTGCATCACAGCAGTTGCGATAAGACTGTGTCCTCCGGCTCCCGGCGTGCAGTCATTAACCAAGCTCAATTTGGTACTCGAAGCAAAAAAAGTGGGTGACAGGAACTTCCACAGACCTTCAATCATTACTGGAGACAGTTCTGGTTGTGACACGTGGCCCACCTTTAAAAGGTCACCATTGGATTTATTTATCACCATAAAATAAACATTCAGTGACATGAGACCTCAACTGAAAAGCAATGCGCCACCAGCAGGCACACAGTGGTTACTACAAAAATATCAAACTTGACACATGACAAAAGCTTTTGAGATATTATATAAAAAAAATAAAAAAAAAGTTGCATACATATTAAAAATGAGGTGATTTAAAAATATATATACACATCATTTTCCCATGGCACTCAGGATGTTTGCCTGAAAAACAAGAAAGTGACATAAGAAAAGGATTATATCAAACAACAATGTGATAATTTTGGTCACTTAGTACAAACAAGTTCTATGGCTGGAGTCTGAGGCTTGACTGATGCACTAAGCTGCAAGCTAAAAACTAACATTCTGATGCTCAGCGGTGATGATTACCATGATCATCATCTTTACATGTTAACATGTGTAACTTATCTGTAGTTTGTGCCAAGGCTGATGTGTCAGTTTTCAGGTATTTAGTCAAATATTGTTTGACTTAATGATAGTGCTAAATGAAAAGTCAAGGCATTAATAGAAAATTCACATTTCAATCTGTCAAGACATCTGTACCAAGTGACAAACTATCCAACAGTTCTTGAAACACTTCACGCAGAACCGGGGGCGGGGGGGCAAGGATCACCCAAGATCAGTGGATTTATCCAAATTTTCCAGGCAATCCGTCTAATGGTTTGAGATATTTTGGTCTGGACTAAAGTGGTGGAACACCTGACTGACCGACATTTACAGAGTCAGACCAACAGTGTAGCTAAGTATAGTAGTAGAAATATCAGAGAACTTGGCTTACCTTCATGAAGGAAGAAAATCTCTTTTCTGTCATACCCTCAACTTTTACTAGATCTTCCAACTGGGAAAACAAAACCATTTAGTATCACTAAATGTAAATAAAAATTTACACCCATTAAACAAACGTGAGAAAAACACAAGGTATTGCTGCAGGGTGAGCTACATGATCAATTGAAGCTTGTCATTTCTCTACCAACCTTCGTGAAGTGACCATGAATCTCTCTCCAACCCAGGATGAGCTTTGCCTTCTTGTCACCGATCTGCTGCAAACCTTTCAGTTCTTTAAAGGAGCCGGTGTTGAGAACCTGCAGGATTTTCTGCCTGGACTGCTCGAGCACAGATGTGTCGAGTTGCGACTCCCAGCTAGTCTCCATTATATTCTCTTTACCCTCTGGACACTGAGGGGGAGAGGAGAAAAAAAAAAAAAAAAAAAAAAAAAACAAAAAAAAAACAAACGGTAAAAGTCATTACTATATTTACAACAGACTTTAAACAACTTACAATAAATGTACAATGGATGAAAATCACTGCAGAACTGTCAACATTTGTGCATCTATATTGGCCTGGGCAGGAGGTTAATTCTAACCTAATAAATCTGTGACCTTGCAGAATCTGTTGAGTAAAAAAAATCTGTTTAAAAAAAAAAAAAAAAAAAAAAAAAGAAGCTAATGCAATGCGTTAGCTTCTATCTGATGCTTGCAATTCTGCAAATGTGTCAAGCTAAGCTAAGCACAGCACAGCCAAGGCTCAGACACTGACCTCAACCTGGTCTGAAAGCTGCTTTTTCTTGATGCAGACAGACTGTTTGTTGATGACTGCAAGCTGCTGCAGCTGGGAAACTGACAGGGAGGAAACCACACATTACATTCATATAATAACTACAATACAATCTGGCAGGAAAATATCAATCAAAAAGTATTTGCACTGAAACAATCAAACTTTCATATATAGGGGAAAAAAAACGATGTTATTTCAAAGCCATATACAAATGGCAGGTAGCAAGAAAAGTTATCTGGCTGACTCCACAAACAGAGGATTACACAGTGGTATAGTGGTCTTCCAAGGTCATCTTTTCACTTAATTACTACATTCCAGTTAGAGCCATCAACTCACTACTATACTTTGTAACTGACCTTGTAGGGGCTGGACCACAGCCTGCTGCTTATTAGGTTTTGTGGCATTTGATGGTTTTCTTTGCAGAGGAGCTGTGTTGTTCTGGAAGACAGAATTCTGTTTGGTACTGGACTTTTCGCCAGCAAGCTGACTGAACAGCAGGGTCTTGCTCTCAAACTCTCTTTGCTTCTCTTTGAGCTCCTGCGGAAATAGTGACAAGGTTGGCTATCAAATAGCTACAAAGAAGAGTTGACTGATCAGTGTAATGATCTGACAGTATCAGCATCTGGTAAACCACATACAGACAGACCATCAGATGGGAAAGCTGAAGGCTGGAGCAGGTGTGGATACAACCTATGAAAACCTACAATGCTAGTCAAATGTTTGGACAGTTTTCCATTAATCCAACGTGAACATGTGCCCAAACCTTTGACTGGTTGCATATATTATACAGAGTTACACATTTTCCCTTTGCTGGACAAATTCAAGTTTTGATGTAGGTAAGTGTTTTCACCTGGATCTCCTTGCGAGACTGAGCAATATCTTTCAGCACACCAATTCTCTCTTTCTCCTGGCAGCTCATCATCAGCTTCTCGAGAGCTATTAGTCTGTCCATCACTGACGGTTCAGCCAGACTGAAACAGGCACAAAAATCAAGAAAGAGAAGGTGAGCGGGACAGTATGGCCACATGTTTTGAAATGCACTAAGACAAACATTTGATCAGAGTAAATGAGTGCATGCTGACAAATACCCTAGCCCTGACAGTCTCGACACCTGATAACACTGCAAGAAAGCAGTGCTCATCTGTCTCCCAGGGAGATTCCAGTTGGCACAGCAGCTCTACTTCAGAGGGACCTGCCTTCAGCACAACTTATAAAATCTTGACCCACTAATGTGAAGCTGTGACTTGTTTAAGCTGCTGTCATACAGATTGGACAATGCAGAGGAAATTGAATTTGATGCGTTAGTTTTGGTCAGATGCAAATCCATTTTCTTCAAAGATCATTCCTAAAGCTGATTAGTGAGACAAATAAAAAAAAAAACAATGTGTCTGTGTGGTGTTTTTAACCTGTGAAAATGTACTGAGGGTGCCGAACCATCCCCTTCAGTTTTCCTCTCCTCTTTCTGCCTTTTCTTAAGTAGATCTGTGCCAGACCCCCCCACCTCATGGTCCTCTCTGGCCCGCTTCACTGGAGATGAAGGTGGAAGAGAAATTAACAGTTTAGTATTCAGCACACTCAAGCGACAGTGTCTGTGGGGCTTTCTCTAGTGTAATGCACCTGAGATGAACATGGCACAGCAGTCAAAGCAGCTTTGCAGTGCCAGAATTAAAGTATTATTTTGCCACCAGGAACATATTTAAAGGTAATGCTATAGCAAAGAAACTGCATCAGCAAACATCACAAGTGAGAATATTTTACACCTCTTGTTACATTGCCCACAGATACTGTAGCTGCTGAGTTACTCTTAGTCATCCTCTGGGATGTGACATGGGTGCCCCCTGAAGGCCCTTGGATCAAATTGTGTCAGAGCTTCCAGTTCTCTGCATACTCTATTTCCTTCTGTCCTTACAAGCCCTCTGAACAAAAACAAAAGATGTATTTCTCAGTTTCTCTCACCTGGCAGAGCAGGCACTGCCACAGTCTCTCGTGTGAAGGGTTTATTCACAATGAGCTTGGATTTGGCTGCAAAGTTCAGTGCACTAAAGGTATCAAAATAGTATTTGTACTCTGGTGCAATATTGGTGATCATGACGGAGTGTGCTGAGCCACCCAGAGAGTCCTGGAGCAGTCGTGTTAATTTACTGTCTCTGTATGGCACACGACCAGCAGTGCCAGAGTTAAGAGAGTCCACAACTTTGCTGAGAGTGAAAAGAGACAAGTTGATAGCACCACTCTCTTTCAGACGGATGCCATGGTTGCCGGTACGGCGGTTGTCCTCAGACCCAGCCAAGTCTACTAAGTACAGCTTGCCCGTCTGTTGTCGGTGGGTGATGGCACGCTGAGTCCGTACAACCTAGATAATTGAAGAGAATCAAATTTGAGTGAAGACAATGACAGCGTTAGCTTCTATCTGATGCTTGCAATTCTGCAAATGTGTCAAGCTAAGCTAAGCACAGCACAGCCAAGGCTCAGACACTGACCTCAACCTGGTCTGAAAGCTGCTTTTTCTTGATGCAGACAGACTGTTTGTTGATGACTGCAAGCTGCTGCAGCTGGGAAACTGACAGGGAGGAAACCACACATTACATTCATATAATAACTACAATACAATCTGGCAGGAAAATATCAATCAAAAAGTATTTGCACTGAAACAATCAAACTTTCATATATAGGGGAAAAAAAACGATGTTATTTCAAAGCCAAATACAAATGGCAGGTAGCAAGAAAAGTTATCTGGCTGACTCTGAGGTATTGAGAGGGATAAAAATAATTTTTTCCTCAATGTCACTTGATATCTTTTCAGGCTCCTGTATTGTAGACTGAGCTCGTTTCACATTGCAGCTGATCATTAACCGCAGTTAGTCAAAATTAGTGGGCAACTGTTCTTTAGGGGGCCACAAACAGAGGATTACACAGTGGTATAGTGGTCTTCCAAGGTCATCTTTTCACTTAATTACTACATTCCAGTTAGAGCCATCAACTCACTACTATACTTTGTAACTGACCTTGTAGGGGCTGGACCACAGCCTGCTGCTTATTAGGTTTTGTGGCATTTGATGGTTTTCTTTGCAGAGGAGCTGTGTTGTTCTGGAAGACAGAATTCTGTTTGGTACTGGACTTTTCGCCAGCAAGCTGACTGAACAGCAGGGTCTTGCTCTCAAACTCTCTTTGCTTCTCTTTGAGCTCCTGCGGAAATAGTGACAAGGTTGGCTATCAAATAGCTACAAAGAAGAGTTGACTGATCAGTGTAATGATCTGACAGTATCAGCATCTGGTAAACCACATACAGACAGACCATCAGATGGGAAAGCTGAAGGCTGGAGCAGGTGTGGATACAACCTATGAAAACCTACGATGCTAGTCAAATGTTTAGACACAGTTTTCCATTAATCCAACGTGAACATGTGCCCAAACCTTGACTGGTTGCATATATTATACAGAGTTACACATTTTCCCTTTGCTGGACAAATTCAAGTTTTGATGTAGGTAAGTGTTTTCACCTGGATCTCCTTGCGAGACTGAGCAATATCTTTCAGCACACCAATTCTCTCTTTCTCCTGGCAGCTCATCATCAGCTTCTCGAGAGCTATTAGTCTGTCCATCACTGACGGTTCAGCCAGACTGAAACAGGCACAAAAATCAAGAAAGAGAAGGTGAGCGGGACAGTATGGCCACATGTTTTGAAATGCACTAAGACAAACATTTGATCAGAGTAAATGAGTGCATGCTGACAAATACCCTAGCCCTGACAGTCTCGACACCTGATAACACTGCAAGAAAGCAGTGCTCATCTGTCTCCCAGGGAGATTCCAGTTGGCACAGCAGCTCTACTTCAGAGGGACCTGCCTTCAGCACAACTTATAAAATCTTGACCCACTAATGTGAAGCTGTGACTTGTTTAAGCTGCTGTCATACAGATTGGACAATGCAGAGGAAATTGAATTTGATGCGTTAGTTTTGGTCAGATGCAAATCCATTTTCTTCAAAGATCATTCCTAAAGCTGATTAGTGAGACAAATAAAAAAAAAAACAATGTGTCTGTGTGTGGTGTTTTTAACCTGTGAAAATGTACTGAGGGTGCCGAACCATCCCCTTCAGTTTTCCTCTCCTCTTTCTGCCTTTTCTTAAGTAGATCTGTGCCAGACCCCCCCACCTCATGGTCCTCTCTGGCCCGCTTCACTGGAGATGAAGGTGGAAGAGAAATTAACAGTTTAGTATTCAGCACACTCAAGCGACAGTGTCTGTGGGGCTTTCTCTAGTGTAATGCACCTGAGATGAACATGGCACAGCAGTCAAAGCAGCTTTGCAGTGCCAGAATTAAAGTATTATTTTGCCACCAGGAACATATTTAAGGTAATGCTATAGCAAAGAAACTGCATCAGCAAACATCACAAGTGAGAATATTTTACACCTCTTGTTATATTGCCCACAGATACTGTAGCTGCTGAGTTACTCTTAGTCATCCTCCGGGATGTGACATGGGTGCCCCCTGAAGGCCCTTGGATCAAATTGTGTCAGAGCTTCCAGTTCTCTGCATACTCTATTTCCTTCTGTCCTTACAAGCCCTCTGAACAAAAACAAAAGATGTATTTCTCAGTTTCTCTCACCTGGCAGAGCAGGCACTGCCACAGTCTCTCGTGTGAAGGGTTTATTCACAATGAGCTTGGATTTGGCTGCAAAGTTCAGTGCACTAAAGGTATCAAAATAGTATTTGTACTCTGGTGCAATATTGGTGATCATGACGGAGTGTGCTGAGCCACCCAGAGAGTCCTGGAGCAGTCGTGTTAATTTACTGTCCCTGTATGGCACACGACCAGCAGTGCCAGAGTTAAGAGAGTCCACAACTTTGCTGAGAGTGAAAAGAGACAAGTTGATAGCACCACTCTCTTTCAGACGGATGCCATGGTTGCCGGTACGGCGGTTGTCCTCAGACCCAGCCAAGTCTACTAAGTACAGCTTGCCCGTCTGTTGTCGGTGGGTGATGGCACGCTGAGTCCGTACAACCTAGATAATTGAAGAGAATCAAATTTGAGTGAAGACAATGACAAATGTCATACATGACAGAAACCTTAAAGAGGGAGAAGAGAGAAATACAAGGTTGGATGAGGTCAATGAAGGCAAGCTGTCTTGTTGTATGATAAATGTGATGCATTACATATTCTGCACCACGGTACAAGAACAAAGTAATGATGACAGTAAGAAAAAAGAAAGGCAGTTTTGTTTCTCTCCTAGAGTAGTCCCAGAAAGCCCGGAGGGTGCTAGCGGGATGTTGCAAGAAGAGAATTGATTTTAGCACCAGCTACCAAATCCTGGCCTACTGCTCAGAGGCCACAACCTGTTTAAGATGCTGTTCAACTGTCCACTGGTTCCCAATGCACAGCCCAGTTCAATGAATAAAACAGAATAACTCCCAAAGAGAACGCCTAGCCTCACTGATACCAATTGAGTGGATAAAATAATAGAAACTCCTCTCACTCTATATAATGCAGAACAATTCCCCATTACATTTATATTGTATTACATATCAAACCTTGATGAGGAGAATAGCATGGCTACGACTGGAGCGCTGGTTAAGTTTGGTAGAAGCTGTTGTACGATTCAGACTGGCAGGGACAAAATATTTATCAAAGTCTGAGAAGGAGGAGATTGTTATGTGAGTGAGGCCAGGGATCAGGATGTTCTTGTCCTTGTCCTCTCGGATTGGCAGATCCTGGGAACTCGGAGATAGAAGATCTAGCACCTGAGAGAATGAAAATCAGATGCAATGATGGATTGCACAATGTCTGTCAAACAATGACAGTTTTAATTAAACTACAATGATGTATGCACTAAAGAAACTTCAAAATAGCAGAACAGCTATTATTTAAACATACAGTACTTGAACCACCAAATTAAGAGAAAAGCACAGAGCTGGGTAGAAAAGGTATCAAGTTTTTAAAGGTGAAAAGAGGTTTAGGAGCACAGGAGGGGGTCACATTATAAGGTTTTCTATTGCATTGCATTGTGTTTTTAGAACAGAGTAATGTGGTCATAGGTACAGAGTGCATGAGCAGTCCCAGAAAAGAGCACAGAGTGCCTATGCTTTTAAATGAACTGTTCTTTCTAGTGATTTAATGCCTGAAAAGTGAGGTAAGAGTGGTTTTACATAAGAGAGTGGTTTTGTTTACATAAGTGTGTTTGATTTTCATTAGCAAAATAAAAAAAGTAATTCATCAAGCTTTTCATTTGAAACATGAGAATTCTGCAGCTTCCCCATGACAGCCTCGTCTCCATTAGTAACAAATGCCAAAAACACTTTCCTAAAGCTGAATTAGATGCCGAAAGAGATTGCTCTAAAGGCATTCAGTTCACATGGTACAAAGCGGCAACACCTTATTTTACTATATTACACTACTTCACTTTCTTGACCATGGACAGGAAGCATGAAATGTCCTGGACCACACTTCACTGTGTATACAGCCAGCCATTCATACCTTCTCATTGTAAATTTCTAAATAAGACATGCCAATGCTGTAGTCCCATCCTTCATCCTCATCCTTAGCTTTAACTAGATTGAAGACCTCACGAACAGCACGAGGAATCACTCCAGGCTGCTCTGATCCGCCCAACATAGTGTGGGTTTTACCTAGGGAAGAGGACAAAGACAGCTAATTTGGAGAATAATAAAGCAAATTATATACAGAAGTGAAGTGTTTCAACACAAAAGACAGACGGACAACAAATTTCTTACTAAAAACCATCTTAAAACATTTTTAGAGGGGAATTCAAAATATAAAACTGAAATAGATCATACCACCTACGCAAATATAAATGTACTGTTCACATGACAAATGCTTATAATTAGGATAAATAGAAGAGAATGCAAACATACCGGCTCCTGTTGGCCCATAAGCGAACACACTAGCATTTTGTCCATTCAGTATGTGTGATAGAATTGGCTTCACAGATGAAAGAAAAACCTCTTGCTGCGTTGTTTGCTCACCATGAAAAACGTCAAAACTGAAACATAATACACAGCAGGCTTAGAATATACTCTTGGCCAATAGTTAAAAATATAAATACCATAGTTATTTTGAAATAAGAACAGTTAAGTCAGTCAATTCAGGACACTGACTGGTATTTAACTGTCTCCGTAGCATTCCTCCAGTTGATTATTTCCAAGTTCTGGGAGTCCAGGCCTCTTACACACGGTCCCTCGCCTTTCTCATCTTGCTTGCCCATGTAAGGTCGCAGACGAACCGCTACCCGAACCCTGGACGTCTTCTTGTTTCCTCCATCTGACACCGATACACGCTGAGCCATGTTTTAACTCTCGAAACCAAGGCCTGGACAACAACAAGCCAAGTTACCACAGATTATATTACGCTGGTGTTTAACATACTTGATTAAAACTGAAATTTGATTCTGGAGAACGGAGGTGCTTGGACTCCAATTAAATGCTTGGCGGTTTTACCCCTTCAATCAAAGCACTGAATCAATGATCTACTTTTTAATTATGGCTGCTATCAACAAGCTAGCTAGGCTAACTCTAGGTCACTAACAATTCCTACTCTGCATAATCAAACGAAAATTACTAGCCAAGCTGAGGTAAGTCGCTTATTTGCCAAGTATATTAAACATTATTAGTTTTGCTTACCGATATTACTAATAAACTCCTAGTACAATCCTTCGTTATGCTCCAAACTTCACTCCCAGAGACATTTCAAACACCGTCTTATAATCAATAATGGCGACTGAATTGGGCCTTTAACGTTCAAACGAACACTTTTTAAATGAGGAGCGCTGAAACATGAAACGACCCTTAACCAATCAGAACGCTTCTTCTTCTTCTTCTTCTTCTTATGATGTTTATTGGCGGGTTGCACCCAACTTTAGGTGCATTACCACCTCTAGAGCTCTTATTTGTATGCATCGAATATTAGTTAATACTATGCTATATGCACATACAAGTATACATTTTGAAATAAGTATTTAACGCGATAGTGAAGTAAAAGAGTTTATAAAAAATTTGCCTCATATGCGTTCAGTCCTGTACGTGATTGCGTACCGCACAGGAAGTCATTTCAAACGTAGATCTCTATTACAAGCACCTTACCTACTGAGGGTTATTCGGACAGTATCCACATGACGTTCAGTCGGTGGAAATGCGCAGCTAGCAGTACCACAGTTCCTCTAACCTTAAATCCAAAATGGCGCTATGTTTACGCCTCTCCATAATCGATTATTATTACTAGCAAGTCTCATGGAGATCTTTGCTCACGTTATTCACTGGAAAAGATAATTTAGCCAAGCACTTACCTCAGGCAACATCAGTCAAGGACAAAACGGGAATTTGGTAATGGCATTTGTTGTCTGTTTGTCACTGCTGTTTAGTAACGTTAATAGCTCTTGGTTAGGTCTGACGTTAGCTAGCTGATATAAAAGGGTACAGTTACATTTCGTTTTTGTTTATCATTTGTCAGAGTTAACACTGATCATCTGGATATATGTTAAACGTTATATGTACGATATCAGTCTTAGCTAGCATTTTAAGGAACTCAAACCTCACATACCTTATAGTTACTTTCATGTTTTACTAAAATGGATTTTTTTCGTAAACCATGCTTCTCTTTAGCAGATCCCGTGACTATAAAGTTCACCAGCAGTAGTAGGAAGGATGCAGGCTGAAGCCACAGACTCTTCACTGAGAGAGGGTATAGAAGCACTGGGTGTGAAGGACACAGAAAAAGCCGCAGCAGGCAAACAGGAAGAAGGCAACACAGAGCAGCAGGACACGGAGATGCCAGCTGCCACAGAGGAGGAGGACACTACAGTCAAGGATGAAAAGAGTAACTAAAAAAAAAAACGATAATAAACATCTGCAGCTGGAAACATCTGGAAAGCTAATTTTGTCTGAAAAGGGCCCACTGCAGATGTTGTTCAGAATAACCGCAACATTTGTATGCAAACGTTTGGGCAAAATACATATTTTGTTGATTTTATAAGTAAATACAAGCCCTGCATCAAAAAACACATTAAAATTAGCTTTTTATTTCATCAAATTCCTTCTACCCAAAAGCTTGTATTAAACCGACTTTCTCTCTTTTTGCTGCTCTCTCAGGTGGAGATGCAGATGCAGCAGAAGGAGAGGAACAGAAGGATGAACGTCAGGCAAACACAGAACTGGATGGCAAAGAGGGAAAGCAGGCTGCAGAAGAGGATGATGAATGGGAGCTTGCATACAGTGACGAGGAAATGGAGGACCCCAAAAACTGGATGCCCCCTCCTGTTGAGATCAAAAGACTCTATGAGCTCCTCGCTAAAGGGGAGATGCTGGAAATGAACTTTGTGCCCCTTCCTAGAAGGCCCCCTACACCTGAACGTACCCCCTCACCTGAAAGAGATGACGAGGAAGAAGCAGCAAAGGAGAGAGAGAGGAAAGAGAGAGAACGCAAGTCAGTGATACTTTTCCTCCCATTGGTTTAATCTCTAAGGGTTTTGGTTTGTGTACACTGTACAGCATGTGGATGAGAGGGCTCATGCTTCTTTTTTTTTTCAGGCCTCCAACACCAACTGAGTTTGACTTTGATGAAGAGCAAATGCAAAGTACTCCGAAAAATGCCTTCATCAACAGGCGCCGAACACCAGGCATGACAGACAGTAACCACTGAGATTTGATATTGAAAATCTGCACTGTTGTACTTTAAAAGTTAAATTAACAAATGTTGTTTCATCTTCTCCTTGCTCTTCACTGTTTTTTTTTATATTTTGGTAATGAGTTCAAAAAAATATTTTCTTCTCCCAGGATCTTCAGCCCGCTCCTCTGTGAAGAGGGAAGCCCGGCTGGACAAAGTTCTCTCAGACATGAAGCGCCACCGCAAAATTGAAGAGCAGATCATGCGGACAGGGCGAGATCTCTTCAAGAGCGACAAGAAGTTGGAGGAAGCCCTGTCTCCGAATAGCCAGAAGGAGCGGGAAAAGGAGAGGGAACGAGACAGCAACCCCAGTACTATCTTTTCCCCGAGACAGAGGAGATACTGAAGTATTATGAGATGAGGACTTGTCCAGAGGCAGATAAGGCCAAGAGCTTTCCAAGACGTTCAAAAAAACTAGACATTTTTTTAATGTAACAAGTTTTGTATGTTTTCTATGTGTGTTTTGTATGATGGCAATAAACATGAATCTTGACGAACATTAAGTGGTCTGTTGCAGACAGTGTGCATCAAGGGCCATTTTATACTCCATCAGAATTAGTTCTTCCAACATGATGTTGGCTCATGGTTAATGGAACCCTCCAAAACCTGCCTGAAATCCTTCTGACACTCTAAACTATTAATGTAACTCTCAGTATATCCATTGGTACATAGCAAATATGAATTTGTAACTGCTAATTCACTTCCAAGATGTAAACAAGCACAGGCTAAAAACGGGTCCCAAATTGCAGCCCACAGAATATCTTGGTGTAACCATGGCAATGTGACATTTGCTGTTTATTGTAAAAGTCTGTTGACAAAGGTAAAGTATTTGGCTATTTTAGAGAAATGCAGTATAATACACTGATCAGCCATTAAAACTGCTGGAAGATTGATTAAATCAAATCAAAATTTATTTATATAGCACTTTACAACATCTGGTTGACCAAAGTGCTTCACATAATGAACAAAAAGAGCAAATTAAAATTATAACAAAGTAAACTAACTAGATTAAGAGCCAACAACAATAAATAGCAGACTCTTATTAAGAATCAAATGCCTTAGCAAATATAAAGATCTTAAGGAGAGATTTAAACACAGCCAAATCTATAGCAGATTTAATATTAAAAGCCATATCATTCCAAAGCTTTGGGGCCACGATGGCAAAAGTCTTCTCACGCCATTGTTTGTGATGAGACCTTGGGAACTGTATAAAATACAAAGATGAATAACTAAGAGTCTGACTGGAGCATGCTGTTGAATGAGATTGTTGAGGTACTGGGGTGCCAAACCATTTAAAACTATTAAAAAAAAAATTGTAACTTAAATTTGATTCTGTAGGGAACCAGGAGCCAATGAAGGGAAGTTCATCAGTAAATGAGCAGCAGCATTTTGAACCAACTTGAGACATGAAAGAAGCAATTTACTGACTCCAGAACACAGCGAGTGACAATAGGCAAGCCTAGAACAAAAAAAAGCACCGATTATATTGTTATAATGGCACCTGATATATAGGCAGCAAGTGACCATTCAGTCCCCAAAGTTGGCGCGTTTGAAGCAGGAACGATTAAGTGTAAGGATGTGAGTGACTTTGACAAGGGCCAAACTGCGATGGTTCACAGCATCTCCCAGACTGTAGGTTTTGCTGGGTGTTCCCCGTCTGTAGAGGTTAGTACCTACCAACAGGGGTCTAAGGAAGAAAAAACTGCGAACCGGCAACAGAGTCATCGGTGCTCAAGGTTCACTGATGATGAGGTTGACCTACTGTAGATTAAATTTATCAGTTTCACTCATCCTTTTCTGGTTCAAAATGAGAAACACTGTACATCGGTCTCTATGAAAAGACACATTCAGTGGCTCTAGTGGTGATATCACACAGAGTGGGGAGGCTGTTGAATTTGTCTAAAAAAATAATCTGTAATTGTCGCAACTAGTTTGCACTCCTTTTACTTAAGTGTTTCACTGAATAGTCTACACACTTGTGCTCTTCCGGACAGTAGAACTATGAAAGTGAACAGATTCCCAGAAGATGCACAGTGAGCTGCAGAGTGACACAAGTGGCAACCAACTGTTGCACTGACTCCTGACACAGTATTAGGTGAGTAGTTTTAATGTTGTGGCTGATCAGTGTGAGGGCGTTGCATTTACACACAAATCACATAAAAACAATATTATGAAGCAGTCCTGCTCAATGTACAACACTGTCCAGTGGCCAAGCACACCAAGACATAAATATAATTATTAAAGAGATTCCTATCACTACACAAATTGAATGGTAAAATATACACAATATACAGTAGAGTATGTTGTTTTAATGCCCAACCGTAAATGTGCAAGCATAATAGTCTTGAAATTAAATTCTGCTGCAGCTGACCCAATTTTTAACCACCTTTTCACAACAGAGTAGAATTCCCTTCATAAAACTGCTCCTTAAAAGCCTTTTCACGTCGCAGTAAGACCAATCATCTAAACTGCGATAAGTCCAATTACAAAAAAACATGCTAGCTAAAATCATTAGATAAATTCTTACTCTGGCACCCTCTATTGGCTCATTTCTACCTTATGATGAAACACATGTATGATTGTCAACCTCGTGTTTGATAAAACATTTTAAACATCAATTTTAAAAAAAGAGACTCAAAGCAGGCTCAGGACAGAAGTATATTTTAGCTAGGTTTGAATAACAATACAGCCTTCACATAAGGCTCAGTAGCATAGAGTATAATATGTATGCATTCAGAACCACAAACCAAATAAATAAATAAATAAATAAATACAAATAAATAACAAGCATTTTGTGGAATATACAGTACATCAGCTGAAATGTTTTAGTATTGTCAAGAAGCAGTACCTTTTGAGTTCATGGAACAGGGGAATGGATAATACGTTCAACATGCCCTCAGTTGTCCAGGCGTTTTGGCGTGTGTGATCCTGTCCTGATGGTTTCTGAGGTTAGTTACTTTTTACTTGACCCATTTCCAGGACTGTGCAAGTGCATACATAAAATAACAATACAAGCCTGTTTGCTCATAGGAGGTTCATAGAACCAGTGGTTCAAATAAATGGCTCAATGATTGGAGCAATTCATACAATGTTTAAAAACAATTACTACACATAATAATGGTTAAAATCAACAAAATGCCAGGGACAGATGTGCTGCCTGTCAATCACAAAGGAATGCTTTCCTACATGATTATTTTTCACCTTTGTTTCCTTGTGAAGTGTCTATCAAAGCTCAAAATACTCAAATCTCATGGATCACTTAGTGAGATTTTCTAGCCAATCAAATGGATATTTTGAGATCTACATCAGCTGCAAACTTACAAAAACAAAACATGTAAATTCAGCTTAAAGTGTCTGCTACTGTGCAACACTTCATTGTATGCAAAAGACAAAAAAAAAAAACAAAAAAAAAAACAAAATAAAACACTGATGCCAGTAAATGGAATGACATAATATCTACACTGAGACAAGAAGCATTGTTGGGAGTAGTCTGCATACACTAAGAGGTAAAACTATAATGTTTTGTTTTAATGCTGAAACGGCATTGTTCCAAAATGTCTGTAGAAATAACAGATACAGAAATGAGACAAAACCTTAAAAAAAAAAAAAAAAAAAAAAAAATCAACGCAGACCTAATACTGACATGGAAATAAGGACAATTTTACATCGGCTATGTACACCGAAAACCTCTTCCTTCTCCTACAAGAAAACAAAATAAATTGCAAAGAATAGGGAAAAGGGATAAGGCAGCAGAATACAGTCTCATAAGTTATTTCCCTTCTAAAGATGAGTCAATCTGTAGGTTGTTACATTTGTTAAAATGACAGTAAATACATAGAGGATACAGATAATAAACACTAGCAAGTCAAAATACTGCTTAGCCAGGATGGTTTTCTTCTTTGAAGGTCTTCCTTATTACTAAACTGAAATAGGCCTTTCATCTACAGCAAATGTACTAACATACAATATAATACATTCCTATTTTCCTGCTCTTCCTGTACTGTAAGGCAGAGAGGACTGAATTTAATCTACAAGAGGGAAACAGCCACCTATGCATCCAGGCAAATTCTTCTCAGGTCAGTGCGTGTTCCTATCTGTCCAAGTTCCTGTAAAAAGTCCAGCAATACTCTCATTTGTTTCCTACAAACTGTGAAGCTGAAGTACTTGAAGGCCAGCAACCAATTCTTTTAGCTATAAAAGTCTGACTGCTGGCCACAGAGACTTCAGCACATTTGTAGCTTTCTTCATATTGCTACTTGATTCAAGTCTCACTTTTCCCTCACAGCTTTCCTTTACATACTCACTAGTACATTCACCTCCTTTCCCTCCACTCTTCTCAGTGAGTAGCCAGCTCGGGCTCTGTGGAGCGCATGCTGTAGCCATTGGCGTCGCTGTCCACCTGGTGCTCCTTCGGCGCAGCCGTGGTCGGGCGCAGTTGCCGAGAGCGAGAGGTGCCCATGAATAGCCGCAGAGCGCCCCTGCAAATTAGCGAGAACCAATAGAGCTGGGGAGCCATGAGCAGAGCAGCACCAAGGTTACAATGCCAGGGTACCGAGAAGGGAACCATGTGGAAGGGAATGGATGCGTACCTGTATATATAAAAGATTGAAAGACTGTAAACACACGATCTGAGTCTTATTTCCATAACACAGAGATCAAGTAGTTGGGCAAATAACTGACCCCATCTCAGCAAGCGAGCAGAACAGGAGAAAACAGAGATGAAAAGAAAGGAGGGATATAACGATACCAAAAACTCAAGATATGATATTGCCATGATAAAAAGTCCACAATACAATATTTGTCACAATATTAAAAATTAAAGAAATACTGGCCCTTATTACCTAACCAATCAGCACTTTTTGTATAATGTGTACCACTGTATATAAAAGATAATGTAGCTGTTATATTTTTATGAAATGAAATTAAACATACTGCAGCATCGTCTTATAAATAAAACGAGCCATACTCTCATCCGGTTTTTTTGTATCCCCTAGGTCTGTTGGACTTACTGTTTGGTGGCTGTGCCAACTGGTGGTCGGGTTGTCATACCAGCCCAGTTGAAGTGGGTATTGCCCGACCACCGGGGGCAGTATTGAGCTGCTTCGTGCACCAAAATGAGGAAAAGAAAAAGCCAAACTAGGATAAGCCACATATAAAGATTTGTGCTTTACTGGAGGTGCTCCTCAAACATCGTGGCTTACTTTTTCATTTGTGCATATGTTCTGTTTGCCCATCTCCATTAAAGCGTTGTGCACAGCCATGCTTCGACTGTTTCTGTAATATGTATCCAGGACTGTCTCAGTGCTAAATGGGGCTAGTGTTGCTATCGCTCGGCAATATTACAAATTGTTTTGCGTTTGTTAGCTTCCATTCTGCCCGTGTCATTTCTTGAAACAGGAAAACCAAAATGCTGCCACACAACAACAAAATCAAATGTAATATACTGTAGATACTGTCACAGTCCCATGAAGTAACAAGACATTTTTCCAATAGCAATATCACAAAATTGCAAATATCGTTACATCCCTAAAAGAAAGACATACCTTCCATAGACGTAGTAGAGATAAGGGAAGAGGAGGACTCGACAGATGAAAAAAGTGATCAGCATAAGAGCCCCATTCACTTTGTGCAGGAGAGTGTGTTGCTGTTTGTACTGAGAGTGGAGAAAAGGGGAGAGGTCGAGAAAAAGAGACAGAGAGAAAGCAAGTAGTACAGTTTGGTGAAGGCTGACGTGTTAGTCTCATTTGCCACTGTTACATTGTTAATTCTATTATTGTTATATTTGTTAGTGTTATCTGCACAGATTGAACACGGGGCGATGGAGAGCATGGCATGATGCTGGTTGCACACTGGCTGATTGCTACAGGAGGCAGTAGGACAGTGTGTGTCAGTGAAGCAGCCCTTCCTTACATTCTCATTTGTTTACAGCGGATGACTAAACTTTTATCTTGAACAGTCGGCCTGCTTCAGTGAGATAACACTGTGGACAAGCTTGCACACATTTTTCTACAAAGGTTTTTCCTCTTGCCCATTCCTAGAATTACATGGCATGCCATCAATAAACACCCAACTGTTTTTTTGATATTCATTGTTTATCTAGTCTACAGGCACAAGCGAGCCACAGCTTTTAACCCCATAGTCATTTATCAAATGGCCACACACACTGTTGTCAGGGATGGGGGGGCAGGTGCTGAGTGATAAAGGGTAGGAGGACAAGCTGATATTATATCTGCTGAATATCCAGCCTAAATATTAGGGCCTATACTCAGAAGCTAACAGCTGTGGGAGCTTCAGGTGGGGGGCAGGCAGATGGTAATGAAGGGGACAACCTTCACCGGACACGAAAACACTGTACACACAAACAAACACATGCAGGGTGCAGCTCCTACAATATGTGTTCAAACAAACTGTGTTACCAGTTAATGACTGCTGTTTCTGACAGTGATGTTCATGAGATAAGACAGTCAACAGAAGCTGACATGCATGAGCAAGCTGGATGTGGGGAATGACTGGAAATATATTCTCAGATGAACGAAAAGGAGAAGAAGAAGTGGAGAGCGCAGAAGAGCCTTAGTGTGACACATGCAACAACACTTAAATCATCTCTGAGGCTGAACAAGGACACTTACCTGGATGAGAATTTTTCCTAAGCAGACAGATGGAGTGCTGAGCTCAGCCATAAACATTACGCCCTGGAAATAATCTCCCTTTCCTTGTCGCCAAAACTGGAGAAAGAAAAGGGAAGTGTTTTTTTTTTCTAATCTAAAATACAATTACAGATTTGCAAAATACCCCCGTAAATTAATATTTAGCTCAAGCCAACAAGAAAACCATTTCCTACTATCTCAGAGTCGAAACCTATAGATGGTTTTACAGATGCAGAGAATGAAAAAAATAATTGGCAAATTAATCAATATTAAAAATAATAATTAGTTACAGGTCTACAATTCTGGGAAAAAAACAATCCAAATATAATGTACTTTTAAAGACTGTATGCATTTATAGAATATCTACAGTAAACTGTAAACACTAGGCTAATATGTATAGTGGTATAAACTATTTCCCTTCTGAGGAGAAAATTTAATGCAAGGTTAATTTCACCATGACAGCAACAACTACATTAATTATGTCTCACTTTGGCTAAAAATACTTTTTTTTTTTTTTTTAAAAAAGGTATAATTTGTCCATAACCACCTCGTCTGTTAAACATGAGTATAAACAATCCAAGAGTGGACAGCTCCATACAGATAATGCTGTGCTATACTCACTACCTCACCCAAATCTCTGCCAAACACAAAGAGCAATATGTGACAGTTACCACAGAGACGGGGAAACAGATGGTGACCATGACAACGTGGTGCAGCACCATGAGGAACTCACGACGCAGGTAGCTGGTCAGCGCTAAGCTCATGTGCTGAGGTGCGGCCGAGGCCTCCTCATGCCCTTTGACCCGCAGCTTGTACCAGTGGCACATGAACATCGCGTAGATGTCATACACAAAGTAGGGAACAGCAAACAGGATATAAGTGCTAGTCAGCCAATGCCTGTGTATAGAGGAAGAGAAGCTGGCCTTAAAAACAGAAAGGAAAGTGAAGAATTTACTCATACAGAGCTTTGTTAACAGCAAGAATTGTTCTAATACCATGTTTCCTTGATGGTAACATAAACACAATCTGAGAGATCTATAAAAAACTGCAGTTACAAAAGGAACAGCTGTCCCCTCTTTACTCCAGTAAAATCTTAATCTACCTGACTTTACAACCACCTAAAGACTGTGACAATGCTTGGGGCAGTTGTAAGGAGAAAAACTTTAGGTAGAGCTGAACTAAAAGCCGACAGTACACTCTTACACATTTTTTCTTCATATTTAAAATTAGCTCCAAATCCCAAAGTGCCTTTGGAGCATCTTAAAACCACAGTCAGCTGACTGACATATATCAAAAGACAGAACATAAAGAATAGCTGTTGATATGCTGTGGCTAATGGGAATCTAATTAAACAAACAAATGCTGATGGAATACGTTCTGATGAGTATTTCTTGACGTACTGGTCCTCAATGATATCCTTGCAGGAAGAAGAAATGATGTATCCAGCTGAAGAAGCCATGACTGCCTGAACTGACGACACCAACCTGGAAGCAGAGAAGGGCAAGTAAACAACTATTGTATTTCTCATTACCCAGTGTGATGAAAAGTTTTATACAATCTAGCCAAGTGGTAAGAAGTTCCCTTACACCTTTATGCAGAAACAATGCTGATGAAAATGTGGTAAAATGACATAACTGCAGCAGCTACAGCAGTCTGGCATATCATGCAAAAACTGCACATGAGCTTAAGTCTACAGCAACTAGGACAACATTGCAATAAAAGCAGCAGTTCAGGACTAGAATTTCTCTGAGCACATTTTTGTCATACACAAGGTATAAACACCAAGTATCTATATGACACATCTGCATCCATAAAGTGTTCAAAACACAAACCAAGCAACAGCAGCTCTCACCTGGCAGACACAATGACTGCATCTCCTTCACTCCATCTCAATGCTGGAATGGACTTTAGGCATTGTTTTGACAGTAGGAAAAGGCCTGGAAAGAACACAGACCCAGCAGCTAGGATGGTCAGCATGGTCTCTGGCAATGTGTCTGACAGGCTCAAGTTCAGCGGGCAATCAGGTCCTTGAGATCCCTCTGAAAAACACAAAACATCTAACAGTGAACCAACAGTCTACGTTGATTTTTCTGGAGGCAGCTCCCATGTGTATGCATTTGGCTGCATTCCCCAAGACAAGCAAAGCACATTGTCATAGTCAAGAAAATATAAAGGATTAATAGATGTAGGCTAAAAACTCAAGTCTACTAATCCCGAGTCTACCATTGTATAACATCTAACTCAAATATTAATTTTTCTTGTGCAGTTTGTAGAAAAAGCAGTAAAATGGTTAGTTTCAGTTCTTATCAGTTGTGAAACAAAGTGTAGATTTTTCCATCTTTAACTGAAACTGTTTACTTTTTTCATTGCTTTATTACTCAGTTGTATTACAATAAAGACAAAATGGATTGTGTTTGATTAGAGATTTGTTTCTGGCGTGGACACAGAGGCCTATTGCTCCAGTTCAGAAGGCAACACAGCAAATGATGTAAGATAGTTTGCTCAGCCTATATTTTACCATTGGAAACCTATTGATAGAAAAGTAACCAGAAACAGATTTTGTTTGGCCAATTACAGTATAGTCAGAAGTGACCCGTTAATAATTACTTCACCTCCAACATCATGTTTCGCTCCTGCTTGTAACAATGAATAGCCTTGGTGTCAGTGACCCTGGCCTGGTATAACTTGGTAAGGGATGTAAACTACACCATCACCCACCCCTAGACAGCAGGGCCACTACATAATTGCTGAATACAGTGGCAGGAGCAGAATATCAGCTAGAAGGCCCTTTTGTGCAGCATGCTGCCCTATCCATCTGGTGACATTTTAAGCATTATTCATGTTCCCATTTATTCCTAGGGCAAAGGTGGTAGCTCCTTACTATACACTAGCTGACTCATTAAAATTTCAAGTCCATTAGCAAAATACGCATTGCGCTATTTTAAAATCCTAATGTCGAAAATATCGATATAATCTAACCCTTGGTGCTCCTGTTCCTGGGAACGACATTAAGCAATGCTATCCGTTTGGAAAACATAGTAGGTTATTGGGCAAGCAGCTGACCAAATGAGCGAAATGAGACTGCCTGTAGGTTACCATAACTATTCTAGTATTGATACTTATCTACATAAATGATATGTTTAACGCCAGCCAAAGCTGCTGCTGCTATATTGTACCATGCTCGAGACCACACGTGTCACATGTGTTTGGTAATGAATTATTGCTAACTTAGCTATTCTGTAAGCTTTCCAAATACACCGGCCGGCTAACAATAACACCACATAGCTACAGGTAACGCTGATTAACGAGCTTCGGTATTTAGTTGTCAACTTGTAAAGAAAAAACGGTTCAACCAGCATACACGTAGATCTGTGAACAGGGACAATATTGCTAACAAATAAATGTCATCCCTCGCCTTGGTAAGCATGGCCAACTTGCTGCGCTGTTGAATCGCCTCCTAACAATGAATGACGCTAATGCGTTAGCATCTCCCCGAAATATAGCTTAGTTGGCAACAATTTCATTTTGAAAAAATTCAAATGCTAGGTAACAAGATAATATTGCCCAAAAATACAACTAATATCTGAATGTACCGCTCTAGAGGCTCTGTCTGGCACTCTTGAACCCGTTACACTGACACCAAGCTGTTTTGTTAGCCTGTTATTTGTTTGTAGCAGTTAGCGGTAGCACCTAAGCTAAGCGAGCCCCGTGAACGCCAAAGATGGCTTACTGGCTAACAGATTTGAGTTTACATGTCTAAATTAATTTTTTTTTAAAAATCTTGAGCAGCATTTACATAATGGCTCTGCAGAGTCCAGTCAGCGATCAGTCGAAACCCGTGTCCTGCAGAAAGCGTGTAATTTTAGAGATGTCCCAGGGGTCTCCGCCTCGATGATCCGCATGTTTATGTGGCCACTTCAATGTCGGAAGGGTAGCGGCAGCGAGCTAACGCTAGCTTGCAGCAACTTACAAATCTGTATGAAGGTGGCTCACTGAGAGCATTGGTCACAAGCCTGCGATCTGGCAGTCTAAACAAAGTGCTGACTATAACTGCAAACCGACAGAAAATCAATGACACAGTCTGATCCAGGTATCAAGGTGACGTTAGTTGGTCGCTATATCATCTGTCTCCCAACAGGCTCGCAGATGCAACATTGACTCAACACCGTGGACTGCTGCGCCAGCTACTTTCTACAGGTCATGCCATGACGAGAAATTTGCACGTCACTACACTGCATTTGGTAAACTGGGTTTTGTTGTTTTCTATTCAGGGAAAAACGCCGAATGAATTCCTCATAAGAAAGCCATCTGTTTCAGCTGCATTCATAGTTTGTAATATCCATTCTCTCCACTAAGAAGATAGGTGTTTCATGTAAACCAAAGGAATCGACATACACATACTTAAAAAAAAAAATCATTATAAATTTGTTAAATGAATAAAGATACCCAGGTAGTTTCCTATTCAGTAATACAATTTGTGACTATAAAAACCAAAATAAGTGTTTTATTTTTGACAGGCTATTCATCTTTGAATTGAACAGCATGGGCAAATAAATTAAATCAATTATTATTGTTTATCTGTACATTACCAGAGATCATGGTCCTGATATTATGCAGCCTTGTAAACCTTGGCTTGGTTGGAAGCTTGTAGATTACATAACAATCAATACAACTTTGTTCAAGCTTTGCAGTGATAACCCAGCACTTTCCTGTTTAATAGGGCATGGTAAAACTGGAACATTGGCTCGCACAGTTTCTTGAACTAGAAAAACTGGTAAAAGAGAAGAAAAGGTTGGGTTGTATAATTTTTTTTAAAAATTATGGAACACGGCCACTTTGTAACTCCACCCTGCCCAATCCAGTACATCCTATAACCAAAGGTTACAAATGAACGTGTTTGGCCATAATTATATTTAAAATAGTCTCATCATCTTTCTGGACATGTTGCTTTTGGCTTTGCAATACAGTTATGCTGACAGTGACAACACTGTATGATCAGATCAAGATAAGACTGTGAAGTCAACAGACAGTAAGGGATCAGTGCCCCTTACCCAGCATATAACATGTTTTTACACCATTGCTTTGCAGTCTATTTAGGCTGTGTAGATCAGGTTCCCTTGTATGATTTTTAAACACTAGAGCTCAATAATTTACAGTGGGTACGGAAAGTATTCAGACCCCCTTAAATTTTTCACTCTTTGTTATATTGCAGCCATATGCTAAAATCATTTAAGTTCATTTTTTTCCTCATTAATGTACACACAGCACCCCATATTGACAGAAAAACACAGAATTTTTGACATTTTTGCAGATTTATTAAAAAAGAAAAACTGAAATA